TTTTTTGTCATTTTATGCCTTACAATCCTTTGACGTTTTTTTGACACTTTTATGCCTTACTATACTATGACATTTTTTGTCATTTTATGCCTTACAATCCTTTGACGTTTTTTTGACACTTTTATGCCTTACTATACTATGACATTTTTTGTCATTTTATGCCTTACAATCCTTTGACGTTTTTTTGACACTTTTATGCCTTACTATACTATGACATTTTTTGTCATTTTATGCCTTACAATCCTTTGACGTTTTTTTGACACTTTTATGCCTTACTATACTATGACATTTTTTGTCATTTTATGCCTTACAATCCTTTGACGTTTTTTTGACACTTTTATGCCTTACTATACTATGACATTTTTTGTCATTTTATGCCTTACAATCCTTTGACGTTTTTTTGACACTTTTATGCCTTACTATACTATGAAATTTTTTGGCATTTTTATGCCTTAATATGCTATGAAATCTTTTTCACTTTTTTTTGCCTTACTATACTATGACATTTTTTGTCATTTTATGCCTTACAATACTTTGACGTTTTTTTGACATTTTTATGCCTTACTATAATATGACACTTTATGCCTTACTATACTATGACATTTTTTGACATTTTTATGCCTTAATATACTATGAAATTTTTTTCACTTTTTTTTGCCTTACTATACTATGACCTTTTTTGACATTTTTATGCCTTACAATACTTTGACGTTTTTTTGACATTTTTATGCCTTACTATAATATGACACTTTATGCCTTACTATACTATGACATTTTTTGGCATTTTTATGCCTTAATATACTATGACATTTTTTTCCCTTTTTTTGCCTTACTATACTATGACCTTTTTTGACATTTTTATGCCTTACAATACTTTGACGTTTTTTTGACATTTTTATGCCTTACTATAATATGACACTTTATGCCTTACTATACTATGACATTTTTTGGCATTTTTATGCCTTAATATACTATGAAATTTTTTTCACTTTTTTTTGCCTTACTATACTATGAGATTTTTGGCATTTTTATGCCTTAATATACTATACATTTTTTTCATTTTTTTGCCTTACTATACTATGACCTTTTTTGACATTTTTATGCCTTACAATACTTTGACGTTTGTTTGACATTTTTATGCCTTACTATAATATGACACTTTATGCCTTACTATACTATGACATTTTTTGGCATTTTTATGCCTTAATATACTATGAAATTTTTTTCACTTTTTTTTGCCTTACTATACTATGACATTTTATGACATTTTATGCCTTACAATACTTTGACGTTTTTTTGACATTTTTATGCCTTACTATAATATGACACTTTATCCCTTACTATACTATGACCTTTTTTGACATTTTTATGCCTTAATATATTATGAAATTTTTTTCACTTTTTTTTTGCCTTACTATACTATTACCTTTTTGACATTTTTATGCCTTGCAATATTTTTACGTTTTTTTGACATTTTTATGCCTTACTATAATTTGACACTTTATGCCTTACTATACTATGACATTTTTTGACATTTTTATGCCTTACTATAATATGACCCTTTATGCCTTACTATACTATGACATTTTTTGGCATTTTTATGCCTTAATATACTATGATTTTTTTTCACTTTTTTTGCCTTACTATACTATGACCTTTTTTGACACTTTTATGCCTTGCAATATTTTGATGTTTTTTTGACATTTTTATGCCTTACTATAATATGACACTTTATGCTTTACTATACTATGACATTTTTTGGCATTTTTATGCCTTAATATACTATGACATTTTTTTCACTTTTTTTTGCCTTACTATACTATGACCTTTTTTGACATTTTTATGCCTTGCAATACTTTGATGTTTTTTTGACATTTTTATGCCTTATTATAATATGACACTTTATGCCTTACTATACTATGACATTTTTTGGCATTTTCATGCCTTAATAGACTATAATTTTTTTTCACTTTTTTTGCCTTACTATACTATGACCTTTTTTGACACTTTTATGCCTTGCAATATTTTGATGTTTTTTTGACATTTTTATGCCTTACTATAATATGACACTTTATGCTTTACTATACTATGACATTTTTTGGCATTTTCATGCCTTAATAGACTATAATTTTTTTTCACTTTTTTTGCCTTACTATACTATGACCTTTTTTGACATTTTTATGCCTTACTATACTATGACCTTTTTTGACATTTTTATGCCTTACTATACTATGACCTTTTTTGACATTTTTATGCCTTACTATACTATGACCTTTTTTGACATTTTTATGCCTTACTATACTATGACCTTTTTTGACATTTTTATGCCTTACTATACTATGACCTTTTTTGACATTTTTATGCCTTACTATACTATGACGTTTTTTGACATTTTATGCCTCATTATACTATTTAGTTTTGGGACAATTTTATGCTTTACTATTTTTCGTTGTTTCTTGACATTTTTATCCCTTTCTATACTATGACTTTTCTCACTTTTTTATGCCTTACTATACTATGATGTTTTTTGACATTTTTATGCTTTAACATACTATGACCTTTTTGGACATTTTATGCCTTACAATACTATGAAATTTTTTCACTTTTTTATGCCTTACTATACTATCATGTTTTTTGATATTTCTATGCCTTATTATAGTGTGACATTTTTTCACTTTTTTATGCCTTGATATAACATGAAATTTTATGCCTTACTATACTATGATGTTTTTTTCGACAATTTAATGCCTTACTATACTATGACATTTTTCAATTTTTTATGCCTTAATACACTATGATGTTTATTCCACATTTTTATGCCCTACTGTACTATGACATCTTTAGCCTTGTCATACAGTGATTTTCTTATGCCTTTGCTATATCATGACTTTGTGATGGGGTAGCACAATAACAGTCGTATGGCAATGTAGCACAATGGTTAGAGTTATTGGCTTACACTGCAAATGTTCCTGGCTCGAATCCCGGCCTGTGGCCAGTCTGTGTGGAGATTGCATGTTCCCCCTGTGATATGGACATTATGACATTTTATGCCTCAATATACTATGACTCTCTTAGATGTTTTTATGCATTGGTATACTATGACATTGTTATGCCTTATTATAACATGACATTTTTATGATATTTTATGCCTTGCTATACTGTGATGTTTTTGACATTTTTATACCTTAATATACGATGACGTTTTTTCACTTTTTTATGCCTTACTATACCACAACCTTCTTTTCCTCAATATACTATGATGGTTTTCGTGGATATTATGTGCTGGGAGCAACGACGTCCCTGACTCATTGTCACCACAAGGTTTGCAGACTCCAAGTCAGAGACAGATTAGCTGTTTAACTTTCAGCACAACAGCAAATAAGCATATTTCCCTGAATGCTGAAATATAATGTAACTCATGCCTCCATCTTACCATTACAAAAGGGTTAGACCTCAATGTCTGCTGTATGTGAGCGAGTAAACAAATAGCTCATGCCGCCCTCAAATCAAAGTAATTACAGAGGCGATAGATTTGGTGGTAATTGGTTGAGAGAGACATTTTACCAGGTGACTGGGTTTGCGTGAAGTCGTAATTAAAGACATTTTGAGAGAGCAGCTGAGAAGAGGCTTAGTGGGGTAGGTTCCAGTAGCTTCATTATCACGGTGCTGACAACACAGTAAGCTGACAAATGTTTGCTCGGAATATCATAATGGTTTCTGTTGATACTGGGGTTCGACTACTGCTTTCCTATTAGCATATAAATTAATAGTCTGGCTAATTCAAGTAGAAGAGAAAGCTCACGATTCAATCCACCAGTCCGCACGAACCATGAATTAAAATCTAAACTTTTAAACGTCACTCACTCCCTTTGTGTCTCTCAGTTTCCTCTCGTCTTTCTCACTCCCTATTTTTCCTCGCCTCCCTCCTTCATGCGCTCCAGTTGTGACAGAATGAGAGAAGTCTTTTGTGCCTCTGCTGTTACGTAGTTCAATATTTCATGGGAGCACATGAGCTGATGGAGGGAATCATTGGCGTGCTGAGACAGTCTTCAGACTTGAATTGTCAGTGTTGAAAAGGAAAATGGTGGTCATCCAGTTTTCAAGATCTTCTTTAATTGTTGCGCTTATTTATCATCCTCTCATCCTGGTCCTTTTCTGTTATCACCTCTTCATCTTCCATTTCCTCCACAGACAGACTCTCCATCCTCTAGAGGAAGGTGTCTAAGTGGTGAATAAATGTATAATACATGATGGGGAGAGGCCTGTTTTAATGACAGAGAGCCTGAAGTGCAAGATGCTGCTTACTTATTAAGAGCTGCTGGCTTCCTTCTCACCCAGCACAGATCCATTCAGTTTGATTATTGCATTTTTTCTTTTACCATTAAGGTTTAATTGTGCAAACAGGCCTTCATCATGAAACTCTTTTTGACACGTCGCGGTAGGAAAAGCAAAACAACCCCCTTATTCACTCATTCACTATTCCATCCAGCAGTTTACTATTTATGCATCATCTCTGACAGCTGAAGTGTTGCACAAGAGTTTTCACATCTTTTTTTTGCATTGCATTGTGGGATTATTAGCAGAAAGTATTGCCTATGCCATAGACATGACTTTTCTCCTTCCATTGTGGGAATCTTCTCATCTGTAACTTATAACTTAACTTCCTAAGTCATTCACCTGTTAGTTAGCAGATAGTGAGCAAACCCGGATGATAACTGGATTATTTGAGGCTAATAATCGAGAGTAAAAATCAAATCAAATAACTGATCTGTTGTGGCAGATCAATGACACAATATAAGACAGTCAAGCTGTTATTGAATATTGAGTAATTATGAAAAAAGATTACTTCAAATAAAGCTGTGTTAAATACATGTTACCTATGCTAAATGTAATCATTAATTCATCTGTAATTGGACTGTAATGCGTTATTTAAGACTCTTTTTGTGCAGTTAGAAAACCTACAATTCTTCATCACGTTATGTCTGTATTTGTCTCCACAGGGTCACAATATCTTCTCCAACCTCTCGTCCACAGAGTACAGCGACCTCATGCAGCTGTTGAAACAGTCCATTCTGGCCACAGACCTCACACTTTACTTTGAGTATGTTCTGCTAAACACACTCTGCTTATTAAACTGTTAAATCTCCTGTTAGCCAGATGTCCACAGAGTTCAGTGTGACTGTTTCGCACTGAAGCACACTGAATGCTATTCTGCCTCTTGACACGGTTTACTGTAGGTTTGTAGGCTTCTTTTAGGCAACACCACCCCCTTGTGGATTTTATGTAATTTACACCTGCATATATATTCTTGTTTCCCCTGTAGGAACAGAAACACCTTCTTTGAGCTGGTCAGCAAAGGAGAGTACAACTGGAACGTGAAGGCTCATAGAGACATGTGCAGGTACACAGTACACAGCAACAACAGCTTCGTCTCCTTAAGACTTTTTTTGTGCTAAGTCTATTATAAATACCAAGTAATAAATAAATCTGTCGGTTTGATCTCCTCTCAGATCCATGATGATGACAGCATGTGATCTTGGTGCCGTCACTAAACCTTGGGAAATATCACGCAAGGTGAGAAATGTGGGGTAAACTCTCTCCATATGTATAAAATACAAAAGAAGCCTGGATCTGTTTTAGCATCTAAGCCACCTAGAGCTGAAATGATTTGTTCTTTGACTGGAAGATGATTGACACTATTTTGATCATTTCTGAAAAAGATTTTTTAAGATTCCCTATTTCCAACTTCAGAATTGTGGATATTTACTGCTTTTCTTTGTCTTATGTGATTAAGAGAACAGAACATTTGTGGGTTTGAACTCTTAGTCGGAAAAAACAAGCAATTTGTCTGCCACAATTTCCTGACATTCTATAGACTATACTATTAATTGATTCATTGAGAACATAACTGGCAGATTAATTGATGGTGAAAATAAGAGTTAGTTGCTCTCCCGCACTAATGATTTCTGTCTTTTCAGGTGGCAGAGTTGGTGACCAGCGAGTTCTTCGAGCAGGGCGACAGAGAGAGATCAGAGCTGAAGCTCACGCCCTCTGTGAGTAGCTGCCGAACCATGTCTCGTTTAGTGCTTTTTGCTGTTCGTTTCACCTCCATGACCTCCACAAGCTGATGATGCTGAAGATATGTTTTCTCTGCAGTTCCAAATATACTGAGTGCGTAGGAAACATGAGAGCTCGTGTCTTGTAGTGTGAGAAAAGTGTACTGTCAGCTTGACCGCTCTGCTGCCTTGCTGCTGTGCCAAGAGCAAAACTGTGGACCGTGTAACAATCATTCTTAAAAAAAAAAAAAAAAAACTCCTCCTGCACAGGGTTCAAAAAAATACTGACCTTTCTATTCATTCAGCTGTAAACACAGGAGGCTTTTTGGTTTAGTGGAGCTCTACGAGCTTTGACTTGCTGACAGCAGAGATGATAAAAATGAGAGTGTAAAAATAGCCTAATAATAAGAATAATAATTAGCAGGGACAGACTTTGGTCCTTATAAAGATATTTGTCTTAATTCCTGATGTATTCATACAGTGCTCTGAGCCACAGCACCTCAACAGAAAAGTCCTGTCTGTTTGAGTGAGGAGCTTTGAAGGCTGAACTGTTTTGCAAGTTCTTAAAGGGGGGAAAAAAAAACCCAACAGCTTTCTGTTTGCAATTAATGGCTGTTGACTAATCGAGCCAGGCCACATTGCCTCCCCTCTGAAATAACTAATGCAGTAGCCTCTGGTCTGCCGCTTGTGTCAAACCTTTACCGCTCCATGTGTGGGTGTTGGAAATTAAATATTAACTTCTAAGTCGTAGCCCAGTAACTATCTCTGAAGCACAGCCTCAGTGGAGCCTCTCAAGTTCAGGCTGCAGAAGAATGAAGGAGAATAGAGAATGTAGATGAAATAAACTCATTTGTCGTGAGAGAAAGGGAGAATTTTCTCCAAAGCAGTAACAGCAGCACTTTAGGGACTGTAAAAACCTGACTTGTAGCCTTACAGTAAGCAGAGTCATATCTCTCCTTTGTTTCTTCAGTGTGAGCACAAATGCAGGCATAAACAAATTCTCTCTGTCTTTTGTGTTTCAGGCCATCTTTGATCGAAACAGGAAGGATGAGTTGCCAGGGCTTCAGCTGGAGTGGATTGATGGAATTTGTGCGCCGCTGTACGAGGTAACGCTCGAGGCTTCACCGCTCTCTGGCCTTCATTGTGTCACGCTTGTCACACATCCGCCTCTGACATCAGCAGTCGCTGTCCTTCCTCAGCTATTGTCCCCGACTGATGCCAGCAATGAAGCTGTCACCAACTATTCAACTTTATTTGCAGCCACAGATTTCTCACTGGAAAAAAAAGAAATGCTTTATTGAAAGCTCTGAACTTCAAGGTTTCATCCTGTTCTTTTGAGCAGAGTAGAATGAGTGTGCACTTTCTGACTGCAAGAAAGCTCAGAGGTAGTGGAGTGTGTGAATAGAGCTGTGATGTTAGTTGGGTGAAATCCCCTTAGTAAGACAGTGTACTTTGGGCTTCACTGCACAGTAATGAAATAAGGACTGACTCCTGACTGCATGCGTTTCTTCTGAGACACACACATAGACAAACAGGCTGATTTTACTGTAGGATCCCTGCAGAGCAAATATTAGGGTCAGAGTTAGAGTAGAGCCAGTGACTATCTTTGAGGGAATTAATGGAAATCTATACAGTGTCCTCGCTGGTATAGCAATGTGTGTTCGTGTGTGCGTGCTTCTGAATGACGTCAAGAGAGACTCACCTGCCCCTCCCACTGCCAGCAGTGGTGGCTGTGTGGGAGGAGGAAGAAGAAGAAGAAGAAGAAGAAGAAGAAGGCTGACTTACTGAAGAGATCAGGTCTGTAAAGAGATGAGGCGTGTTGAAGGCACATTCATGAAAGTCAAACAGAAGAGGAGCCGTGAAAGAAGTCAAGGATAAAATAGTTCATTCATTCTTACAGCACTGGGTGATTTCTTTGCTTTTGTACTGTTAGACCTCCTTCCTTTTTTCTGCTGTCATATTAAACACATTACTCTTAGTCACCATGAGTAGAAAACAAACAATAGATCATCTTCACGTCTATTGAATTATCCTAGGATCAGTGTCAAAAGTTAGAGCAGACTAATCTGTGCAGGGCTCTGGTTTCACCATTTTTACCGTCTCTGTAGTGTAGATAAAAAGCATCAAAGTGGCGTGTGCATGTGTGTGTGTGTGTGTGTGTGTGTGTTGTCTGCGTGGGGGGTTTGTCTCCACACTGCTTTATGTAAAGGCTGATGTTTGGAGAATGCAGATATGGAGCTCATGATCATGCTGCTGCCAATTAAACTTGCGAGGGGGAGAACAGAGGGAAGTTCGGAGGCGGCAGGGTTTTTGTCCGTGGGCGGAAGAGATCTCGTTCTTGATCTCGCTGATCTCCTTCTCCTGGTGGTGGCTCGCTACTTTGTGGAATCTTAATCCCCCATTATATAACCTTCCATCTTCATACCCCACCATATGAAAGTCTCTCTCTCTCTCTCTCTCTCTCTCTCTCTCTCTCTCTCCTTCCTCTGACTCTACCTCAGTGGAATAATGATGCTGCACACACCAATGACAGTGTCCCACAGAGGGTATATACCGCAGAGAACGGGGGAAATTGTTCTCTTGTAAAAAAAAAAAAAAAAATCCTCTCCTTTTAACCTGCAGACGAGACAAATCCATAAAGATTTAGATGATCAGTGCACTCGGTTTTTGTAGTTCTTTAAAATGACATGCCTGTAGGACACATGCAATCGCAGTGTGATGAGGGCTTCAAATATTGAACATTTTCACAATCAACACACACTCATTTACACCAGGGCTGGAAATGCTTCACTTTAGCAGTATACAAACATTTCATTAATGAGGAAAAGTGGTTTATAACACCCTATAATGTAGTTGTAAGCAGATATACATGAATCTTAATTTGTGTGTTTGTTAACAACTGTAGCTCCTCCTGTGGGCATCCATAAGTACATGCTGGTGTATAAACATATGATAAATGACAATACGGCTACAGGCCCAATAATAGTAGTAATAACTGCTTTAATAGTATAGTAGTAATAGTATACATTTGTCTTCACAGGAGAAGTTATAATTGTTGACAAATATTGTACATTAATGAACACTTGAAATGTCCTTAAATCTGCATCCAACTACATTATAATGTGTTATAAAGCATTTATTACATGAAATAGGGGAGATTAAAGTAAAGTTTTACAATAATTATCCTTAAATCTGGTTTTAATACCATTTCATCTGCATATGATTTTCCCGATTTATTGTGAAAATCTCTCTCAAGACAGACAGCAGCACCACATAAAACATTTAAGATAAAACACATTATTACAATTAAATGTCACTGTTCATAACTTAGTCTTACTGGACAGCCAACTTACATCCTTTGTGTATGATTGTCTGTTCTATGATTGAAAAAAATTTGAAAATATAATATCAGTAATAACAGCAATAAGTAATAGTAATAATGAATCTACTATAACATATGTCAGAGAATAGTCGAAAATGCTAATTTCCTGAAGCCCATGTTGATGTTTTAAATAGCTTGTTTTGTTTGATCAAGAGTTCAAAACCCCCAAATCACTGATTTACAATCTCAATCAGACAACACTATGTTTGACCTTTTTGCTAAAAACTAACCATAGCAATTATTCAATTGTCAAAACAAATCAGTGTAATTCTAAATATCTGCACAGTGCTCACACATATGAACCAGATGTGTGCAGACACTCAACAAACAGGAGCAGTGCTGAAGCAGTCTGACTCCAGAAATGTGCATCGACTTCATCTCAAATCACAGAAATGGAAATCCATGTGGTGCTCTAATGTTCTCCGGCATCACAGGTGAACAGCTTCATAATTAGCAGCGCGACCATTCCAGCAATTACAATATTATGCATTATTAATCAGATATTAGTACAAATAATGAACCTCCCATGAGCTAAAGTGAGCAGACAGCGGCGTTTCGATAAAGACAGGAAAGTTGTCTTAATGTCTGAGCAAGTGTTTTGATTGTTCATATGAATGAGTGAATACAACCGCTGAATATTAATGCATTTGCAAATTGCCAGCCTGCATTTAAAGTTGAGTTAATTCACAGCTGAGATTAGTTGTGTTACAACAGATATGATTTCCCTTTCATGCATACAATACACATTCCCCCAGTGTAGGTGTACAGAAAGTACTTGAATCATTTTTGCAATGGCTGGCCATTCGACTCCTACATATGCGTGTGAATAAATGAAAGATTTTATTGTTTCGAATGTGGGACCCATGCCCACATGTTATATTTCCATATGAAACAGGGTTAATGAAACAGTAACTAATTACACAGACTTCCCTGGAAATCCAATAGACACAGAAGACGCTGTTAGCAGAACAGAGGAAACAAAATCCCCCTGTCTCCCAGGTAATTTATTAAAATGTTGGATGACAGCTTTTACTACACTGCAACAGTTACACAGTTACAGTTCAACACAGGAAAATGACAAAGGCAACTAATCTCAGTCACACATGTGCCTCTAATCTTTAAAGAGCAGCCATTTAATGGACTGCTGCTATCAACTGGCTGTATGTTGCTGTTATTGTAGTCTGGTGTTCTTTGTTTTGTTTCATTTGTTTTGCCGATATAGTGCGTTTGATGAATAATATGCTGCTTTTCTAGCCCCAGTTTACTGGATATATAGCCTACCAGTTTATGCCTCTCGTCACAAAGCTGAGCATCACTTTAAAAAAAAAAACAAAAAAAAAACACAAAACAAAAAAAACAAAAACACAAATCTTTGAAAAATCCAACACTTATCGCTGTTCTAGTATTGCCCGAATCCTCAAGGTCTCCTCTAACCATCTGGATGAAAAAACACAACGCTTCTCAAATTGCAAAGTTACTGACCTGATGGCGATCCCCTGACCTTTCCTCTAGTGCCACCATGAGGTTGACATTTGTGGCTTTTAGTGAAATATCTCCTAAGCTGTTGAATGGAACTGTAATCATTTGGATGATCTTCTGACTTTTCCTTTAGCACTATCATCATGTCAAGTTATTAATGTGTTCAGTAGTTTGGTTAATGACTAAGTACTTGCAAAACTAATAACACTCCCAATAGCCTCAGTTGTAGCTTGTGTTTGGTGCTAATTAATCAAGTTAGCGCTGTTATTGTAAGCACCACTGTGGTTAATACAGCCTCCCAGCGTTGCGACTGGAGACTCTTATTTGGGAAAAGATCACAGGCTATTTTTTTAAGAAAAACAAATGTTTGGCTCTGTGACCATAATGTGATTGTAATATACTAGAGTCATGAACTGGGACTGCTGCTTTTCATGCTGATGATGTTTTTTCCTTTATATTTCATTTTTTCCAGTAACACTTCACTTTAAACGTACACATTTAGTATTTAAACCCAGTATAAACATCAAATTATGCTTTATAACACTGTATTTCAGACATTTGCAAATATAAATGTTTATTCTCATCTTTCTCCCTCTTTCTCTCTCTAGACTCTGGTCAAGTTAAATCCCAAACTCCAGCCGATGCTTGACATGATCAAAGCTAACAGGGCCAAATGGGAGGAACTGAACAAGAAGAGACAGCGTGGGCAGAGTGTCTCTGCGCCCGCGAGCCCATGCAGTGGCGACAGCACAGAAACCAGTAGCTGCACTGTGGCCAAAACCGGCAGCACACCCTGCTGCAGCAGCGATGCTGATGGCACAACATCTAAACCTGTTAGTTAGCTTCTGTTGCCACCTCCGAGCTGATCTCTTAGGCTTATACCCTCTTAAATGCAGCCTGCAACAGAGGCAGTGCAGTGCATGCAGAGGTTCTTGGGCTCTGCTCCTCTTCGCTTTTTGCTACTAGAGATGAGCTTTAGACTTGAGTGCGGCGCTATCATAGAGGTTTTTCTGCTCCCCTCAGTCTTCCCATGCTGAAGGCTGACAGAGCTGTGTTTGGCAAGCTTGTCGGAGCAGCTACAAATCAGCTGATGACACCATGTCAGAAAGGAAACTCAAACCACTGTGTCAACATGTCAACCAGTGAGCTAACACTAACTATTTCGGGCATTGCACAGATTTTCGGCACAACAAGGCATGAAGAATATTGGAGAGGAATGTTTGCCTCTACTGTGGTTGGTTTTGCTCTCGGTACCTCCTCGTTGCTCGCATTTTGTCTTGGGTAACAGATATTTTTTGTAAATTTGTACATAGGCTATTGAGTTATTTACAAGTGCTGTTTAAAAAAAACTGTAAGCTCTGGATTGTAATGTGGCTGTAGAGTTTCTGAAGGAGAAAGGGGTGCAGGAACAGCAGGACCTGTGACAGTGCTTGCAATGCAAATTGAGTGCTCCGCTCCCTCCCTTCCTGTGCCTTGTTTTAAGATCCTAATGAAAAATGCATGGCCTCCTCACCAAGATTCTTAGATAGTATGGAAATCCATGTTGAACCATGACGTATTTTTGCCATAATTTGTAAAACCAATGACTGCAGTTTTGTCTCAACCCCATGTTAGCCACAAAACACTCACATTATATACATATGGAAATCTATTTTGCCCAATTTTATAAACGCAGGGTCTCACGTGTCACACACACAAACACACACACAATGTGCCTTGATGAAGTTGTTCTGGTATCACATTAATTTCTGCAGAAAAAACGATTATCTACTGATTTCACACTGACAGCTGAAACATAAAGCAAAGTGATATAACTCCTCACTAAACTACATCTAAAGGAACAGATCATAAGTTTTGGAAATATGCTTACTTGCTTTCTGTTGAAGAGTCAGATCAGATCAATCCCACTCTAATGTCTCTCTGTTACATGTTACAGCCAGGAGCCGGTTAGCTTAGCTTAGCATAAAGACTGGAAACGGGGAAACAGAAATGAAATCTGCCTACTAGCAACTCTAAAACTCATTATTTAACACTTTATCTCGTTTTGTTTTCATCCATACAAAACCAAAGTGAACAAAAGACTACTCACTGTTTTACAAAGGGTTATGTGTTGGACAATTTCTTGTCCATGGCCAGTAATTTCTTGCAGTCTCCACTGGTTGCCTTTATCCAGGAAACAGTCTGGCATAAGACATAAGACAAGGTTTAAGACGCAAACCTTCATAAAACACTGAATAGTCATTTTTACACATCAGTTTTTGAACATTTTAAACAGACGAGATTCAGTGTGTTAATTAGTGAGTTTTAGAAGTGCTGGTGGGCGCATTTTGTGTCTGTTGGACAGAGCCAGGCTGGTTTCTCCAACTGTTCTACAAGCTAACCAGCCAACAACACTTAACTATCTGTAGCTTTATTTAAGGGACAGGTAAAAGATCAATATTTTCTCATCTTACTTTCCCCCAGAAAGCGAATAAGTGTATTTCCTAAAATGTCAAACTTTTGCTTTAATTTAATTTTTGGCCTTTTCTGAACACTCACAAATGCTACATAAACAGCTTTTATAATCTCTCGAAGACTGAGACACGGAGACTTGTAGTACTGAAGTGCCCATTTAGTCACAAGCTATTAATTTCATTTTATTATTATTCTAAGTATTTTTTGGGGGTAGGGGTATGCCTTATGAGTTGTGTTGTACCTTTGTTAACTGGAGTTTAAAATGTGACTGTGCACATTGTGTGGCATGGATCTGTGTTCTCTACTGTATTTAGTTGAAGAGCTGAATTGAGGTCAACCAGAAGAATTTTGAATTGCATGTTTTATGCAGTATTAGATTCAACCACTTGCTAAGGATGTAGCAAACGTGTGAGCCAACAAATACCTCGTATTTTGAACTTCATCAGTAAACACGTTATTTCATCGGAAATGCATGACTTAAATTCTATTGCATCATGTTACGTGAATTATGAATATCGCTGTTCTATTTTTCTATTAGGTCTCCAAATGTGGCCAACTTCTACTTGTCTTTTTTGCAATGTAATGTGCTTCTTGTATTTCTTCTTTCCTCTCCCAGTTTGGACTCTGGATTTATTTATGGCGGGCTAAACTGAAAGAAACCTAAGGCATGAAAAGGCAAATGTGCAATGTTTCTGTTCAGAGTTTAAATAAAAAATATGCTGCTATATGTGCTGTGGTTTATTCTGACATCAAAATCTTTATAGTACTCCACTACATTAAATATTGTACTTTTCACTCAACTGCATCTATCTGACGGCTTCACTTTACAGATTAAGATGCTACATACAAAACATGATGATTTTATAACATGATTAACTGGGATAAACATCCCAACAGTAGGCTATATACAATTAAAATGAACCAACTGCAACAGTAATAGTCTACTTATACTTAAATGCATCAGTAACAACAATCCAATAAAACAATGTATAAAAGTAAAACACTAATAATGGAGTATTTTTATTACCCAGTAGTTCTACTTTAACTTAAGGGCCTTAACTCCTCTTCCACCATTGATTCTGCCTCCCAGTTTACACAGTATTTCTCCCAGTGCAGTGCTGACCTCCTGTGGACAAATGCATCACTACACACAAACTGTATCTCTCAATGAAATACTACAGGCATAAGCACATTTCATTGAGACACATTTAAAGTCATGGAGAAAAACTGCACGATGTAGTCAGATTAGAGGGAGCGTTTGAACAAGAGAATAGGAATTGGCTGCAAATATACAAGTCTGTAATCAATATTGCACAACTCTGGCTGTTACAGTGTTTAATCAGAAATAAATATATGTTCAAGTCTAAATCCTTCATGTCGTATTTATATCCAATATATTCATCCAGACAATCCTGGGTATTAAGCTACAGTGTGAGGGATGTAATAGCTGCAGTGAATTTCATCGTCCAAGGCTGAGCTCTACTGTTGTTGATAGGTGGCGGTGACGTCAGCAAGCCAGTGTGTGGGTGGCTGTGTGGGTGAAGATGACTCCCAAATGAGCTTGTGTGTAGAAAAAAAAAAAGAAAAATAAAAGCCTGTCAGGAAGCGAAAAGACAGGCTCTGTTAAACTCCTCTGTGGTGGTTTACCTTGAGCTCAGTGCCCAGTCGTACGGTAGCGAAGGCAAAAAAAAAAAAAAAAAAAAGAATGCTCCCAGGCTCTTGTTGACCCTAAATAGGGATTAAAGAATATGACGGGGAGATGGGCGGTGGGGGTTGGGGGTGGGGGGGATTTCTGCTCTCTTAACAGTGTTGCATATTAGCTCAGAGATAAATCAACTGGGATGTTTTAGTTCAATTTATTGCACAAACAGCGTTGACAAAATGTACTTGGATGTTACTACATTGTTAAGAGAAGTGGAAAATAACAACAACAAAAAAAAAAAAAACAGGTACGTCCATAACATTCAAAAGCTCTCACACATTTTTGACACGGAAGGTTAAATATCAGATGGTGAGTGGATCCCAAACAAATCTGTTTCTTTGGGGGAATATTAAGAATTAAAAGGACATGGTGGTCCAGGAAAATGTGAAAAATGCGAAGCACAGATCAGAAGGAAAAAAAAGCAGACAGCTCTCTTAAAGCTAAACTTGGCTTCAAAACGAGTAGTTAAATGATACAAGTCTGGTATCAAATTGTAGTACATTACAGTATCCATTCCAGAAACCTCTTACATAATATAGATACAATAACAATTAACAACAAAGAACAACCAATTATATGGAGCAGAAACAATTCAATACAGTGTCTTTAACATAGGAAACATGATGTAGTAGAGTTTAATAGAAAGTTTTAGCACATGTAACAGTCACAAATATCGACATTTCATATCTCTCAGAAGGGTCGTCTTTGCATATGTGGATTAAAAAAAAAAATCTACTTTAGCTGTGCATGATTTGAATGTATGTGAAGGTGGCGGTTACACAATCAGACAGATGTTTATAGTAATGTTTATATGGTCTGATGTGTTGAGTCTTTGGTACAACGTGAGCACCGGGATCCAGAGGCCTTAAATTGCAAAAACAGTCAAACTGAAGCAGGCATGATCGAAAAAACGCGATGGCTTTTTTTTCCCACGTCACTTTCTCAGTAACAAACCATGCAAGGAAAACCATTTCAGTACAAAAACTAAACACACAAGGATTATCTCTCTTTGTAATCATACTGTAATTCTAAGGGTTATTACTTTTTGGTGGGGCTGTAGGTGTGGAGTTTTTAGTGGAACAAGTTGGTCAGCAGAGGAACACGCACACGTAGACGAGAAAGTCTCTTATGGCAATAGGTCAATACAACAAAAGGCATGAGGGCATGAAAAAGACAAACAGGAGACACTGACACCATCATGTCCAAGTCTGTTTTGCTTCACAAAGGGACTCACTGTACACCAGCAGAGTGTGCAGTAGGAGAAGAGGAAGGCAGACAAAAGCTTTAGAAAGGCACAGGGCTTTAGAGAGCGCATTCATCTAGAACTTACCACTAAAGAAGAGCCCCACACACAGACACACACACACACACACACAGACACACGCACACACACACACACAGACACACGCACACACATGCGCACACACGCGCGCACACACAAGAGGAAAATAAAAACAAATTTAAGGGTAAACTATGTTGGCAAGGATTTTTAGGAAGAGGTTAAACAAAAGCAAATATGACAAAAAAAAAAAAAATCAAGGTTTTGTTGCATCATGTCAGGATGCATCGTGGCCGCCGCTCCAACAAGCTGAGGCCACGACACAACAGCAGAAATGAGCTTCAACATGAACGACAAAGATTGTTACAGCATATTAAGTGCAATATAATGTAAAAGAAAAAGGTTTGGGTGAATCAGTAAATGGCACTGAATGACACTAATGATGAAAAAGACAAGATCTCTGTCCATTTTAAATTCACTTTTAGTATCTATTAATCCAAAACGCACAAGATGCTTTTAGAAAAAGGTGAGATACAGATGGAGAGGAGCGGGATATTAGAGGAGGTTCCTGTTGCCGAAGATGTTATTGGGGTCCACGTAGTCTTTGACAGACTTGAGCATCCCCATGCCGACATTGGAGACGGTCTCTCTCATCCACTCCTTCCGAAGTTTCCCCACTGAATGACAGAGAAGAGAAAATAAATAAATAAATAAACTCATGGAAGAAGACCGAAGGGGGAGAAATAGAGGAATCGGCACGGCTGATTGCTCAGCAGGCTGCTGGGAGCCAATCAATCTTGTGAGAGTGAGTGAATAAACAGAGGGTGATAAATGCTTTTATTCAGAGAGGAGAAATGTTTTGCATGGCATGATTTATGGAGCTCAGCAGACTATCAAACTCATTAGGCTCTGTGTGTTCCCAGAGGAGGAGGCCGGCTGGCGGTTGTAGCGGGCCGTCCCCGGCTCCCTCACTCTTTGAGCCACCACTCCCCTCCAATTCCCTCCCTCCAGAGTCACCGGGGCGTTTTCTGTGTGTGTTTCTGTCTCATTGTGCACACGAGCGCGCTCCTCCTGCTGACCTGCGAGGGTGTTGTGCTTGCTTGTCCTGAACGCTGCTCTGCGCCCTCTGACACTGGTCTGATCGCCAACAGGGTGCCGAAGCCAACCGTGGAGCACCACACAATGGTCCTCTGTCCTCAGCAGGACTTTGGCTCTCAGCCGCTGTTCATCCTCCCTCCTCCAAATCCCCCCAGCCCCCTCCTCCAACCTGAGGAGCGAGTGTGGCTGTGGCATGAAGCCTAGTGAGGGTGCCCATTGCTTCACCAGCTGTCCAGTCCGACATACTCCACAGCGTCTGTACCCGACAGGTTCCTAGCGCAGAGTCTGGAGCCAGCGAGAGGTCTGGTTACTACGGAGGACTGGGAAACCTCGCTGGAGCCAAACTCTTGTTGGAAAACTTCAAATAAAATAGCAACTTTGATTTTCTAAGAGCGAATAAAGCTGCACAATGTTATGGCACAATCTGTGAGCTTTTACATTTTTTTTTACTTTTGAATGAATAACGCAGAAGAGGAAACTGAGCCACAGCTGTGATGTGTAGATGTTGAGGTTTTAAATTCATCATTCTTTCAAAGAAAATTGCATTTATTCTATTGGCATTTTTCTTTAATTTGATAATGAAGACTTCAAGAAGAAGAAGAAGAAGAAGAAGAAGAAGAAGAGGAAGAAGAAGAAGAAGAAGAAGGCCCCAAAAGACCCAGACTCAAAGCATATTATTATATATCATGTTTTGTTTTTTTTTGGTAATTTAATTAATTGCACATTTGTTAAGTAATCCAAACTACTGAGGTACAATATCAACTAAGGCAGACCCGCCCGTATTAGCTTACTTTGTGGCCCTGTGCTCACATGGTGTATATTCATAAAGAAAGTGCTGTTAGATACAGTGACCACAACAGGGGTCCAACAGCCAATATTTGCTCCAGGCCTCCCTAAAAGCTTAAACCTGCCATGCCTAGCAGAGTGGAATTGACTAGTCAATCAACAGAAGATAATAATTACTTTTTTTCAGATTCCCTGGGTCCAGTTTTTCAAATGTGAGGATTTGTTCCATTTCTCTCTTTTCTCTCTTTTGTATCAGCTTTAAGTTTAGCATGGGCTTGTTTAATTGTGATGGGCTTCTTTCATGATTTTTAGATATTTTTTTAGACTATTTTTTTAGACTAAAAAAAGACCAAAAAACAGATTACAATTACAGATAACAATTATAGATTAATTCATCATTTATAAATAACTGTCAGTTGCAGCTTTAGTTGCCAGGCTGAATCAAGCTATGATGTTGCAGTTACACAATAATGCACCTTTGTATACCAAGTCACCAAGAACACCCCTGCAGCATCTGTAGGTTGAAAAGTCTCACAGAGAAAAAAAATAAAAACAATAACTAGTCATTAGAAGATTTACAGTGGTTAAATAAAACAATGGGACTTAATGAAAGGCTACATTAAGAAACTAAACTAAACTGAATAAAGAAAATACAAAGACTGATGTAAAAGTCACAGTATGTCAGATCAAAGCTGGGTAAATATGAACTTTTGGAGGTCATGTCAACTTAAGGAAAACATTCAATATCTTTACTCCAAAACTCAAAAAGATAAATTTGAGAATAGATCAGCCTGGAACAGCTGCTGCTCGCTGGGTAAACACCTCCAACCGGCAGTGTAATCACTTGAGATTAGATACAGAGGTCTGAAAATACAAAGGTGTGTGATGAGTGTTCACGCGCCTTCCTCCGCATCGGTACCAGATGCCCCCCTCCCTCAACATGTTAATAGGGCATGTTGAGGGAGGGGGCCGCCCTGACACATTAGAGCGCCGTGTTATCAGAGCCCAGCCAGGAAACCCAGATGGGGATCAGCCATGAGGCTAGTGAGGCCCGTCTCCTGACAAAACAGGGCAGACAGCGGGGTCACCAGAGAGTCTGATACCACACAAACCTCCAGATGGTGACAGAGGGCCCAATCAGCTGCTACCCAATAACTAAGAAAGTACCCTGCTCTCTACCACCTCCTCCTCCTTAGTCCTTCCCCCCCGTGTTCCACCTCCATCCCTCCCTCCTCTAAGGAGAGAAAACAGAAGGTGCTGGGACTGCATCATTGCCTCCATCACTGTGATAATTTACACATCTATCTTGTCATATTCTCTCTTTTTTGCTTGCTATTGCAATCAATCTCACCATGCTTGGTCTGTGCAGCTGAGACATGCAAAGAAGTGCAGGTAGTTATTTTAAATGACAGATTTCTTTTTTTTTCTTTTTTTTTTTTTTCTTAAGGTGGCATATTTCTCTGGTGTGGAAAAGCCTGGGGAAGCGCAGGGCGAATGGCACGAGGGGAACTTCACTAAATCAGGTCATTTTTCTATCTCCTGAGTGCAGTGACCTGTGTGGAGGTGCAGTTGGCAGACTTAGAGAGATTGGAACTCTGTGGAGCCACAAGGTGAGGTGAAGATGCTGCGCACCCTGGGGTGGCCCTCATAGAGAGGAGACTGTGGAGGCCGAGCTGAGCTTCACCCCTTCGACGCACTGTTCTCACCCTTGCCGGGTTTCTCTGACAAATAGGGGTCAGGACATGAAAGACGGGGTAAGGCAGTGGCCCTGCATTCCTGTGATATGGCCAAGGTGGAGGTATGGGCTGGGCAGCCGCGGTGCAGGGCTGATAGATGGATGACTCTCCTAGTGATGGATGTTCAACAACTCTTCACCGCTGCGACACTGGTGACCTAGTTAAAGAGGACATTTCTCCCAGTACTCTGGCTTCCAGAACCAAAGAATAATCAAACAGACAGAGGTTTGGCCAGTGAGGAGAGGCGATAAAACTGACTCCTTCTTAAGTTAAACTCACCAGCATTGTTAAGATGGAAAGCAGTCAACACATGAGCTGAGTGCCAGCTGAGTATTATGTCCTGCAGAGAAAGAGGTAGAGCGCTCTGCACACCCAGATTCCCTTACCTACGCCCACGCTGCACCGTGCTGACCTGCTGTAAACACAGGGCTACAAAAATGTATATTTCCTCCGGTGGCCTCCCACCTCACCATCCTTGACTACATCTGTTTTGTTTGATACACAAAAACCAGTGAAACTAGCTCCATTTGTCAAGCGCTGATTGTGGGCAGACAAACCGGCCTGTCTGCGCCCAGATAGCAAGCCCCACTGTTATTAATCACAATTACAGAGTGGGCCTCGCACACGGGAGCTGCATCAATATCCCCTCCTCTCCCCCCTGTCACCTCCCTGTGCTGCTCGGGGTGGCCGGGCCACCGTTTGGAGGTCAGTATACAGCCGGCGATAACGGCTGCATCATTTACCCCGGCCTGCCGCCTCCTTTTTATTAGCAATCTTTTAATTTTGAACCCGTCCCCGCCTTCAGGAAAAATTGTGATTTAATATCGCAGCTGATTCACTGCATACTGTTTTTGACAGGTGTGATGAATAGCCTGAAGTGATGTATGAAAACAGCGAGGCGGATGGCAATATAGATAAGGCAGCCATTTCGGTTAGCCCTGATGGGGCCCAGAGAGTTGTTTCGCCCCCCTCCCCTGCTCACGTTTCATTTGGTCACTTGTGAAATGAACAAATAGCCGAGTCAGAGCCATTCATCTGAGCTGCAGGAACATATTTTGGACACGTGAAGGAACCAATGAAAGATTTCTGACCAAATGCACATTTACAGCACGACTGGCTGCCTGCTCGCTAGCACGGAAGAGCACACCGGGAAAGCTCGCCATGCTGCCGCTGCCACTCACAACAACCTCTTTTCATAAATTACAATTTAGGGGAAGGTGCAAATATAAATGCTCATGCTATGAAACAGTCATCCAACTCAGGCTGCTGCCTGTGAATAATGTGCACCTGCTTTCAGCAATACACACAACATGTTCACAAAAACAGACTTTTTAGTATGAAATTCTTTGAGTCCAATACCTCCATGGTGATGTGACAAGCTTCCTCCATTGGCAAGGATTTCTTCTCTAGCTGCATGCTGGGAAACAAAAAATGAAACCATATATCATATAAATATCATATAATACTATATTCTGACATTCATTCTGCGGGGTGCTGGAAAGTCAACATATCATTACATCAGATGTAATAACAGGACAGGAGCATGGCATAATGCTGGAAAGTGGACTTACCTCCACTTGTTCATACACATGTACTGGATCACTGAGTCCCCTGTAGTTGAAGGCAAAGTAAAAGTAGACACAGGCACCAGCGTCGTACGTCTGAGTCACCCTGTAAAAAACACACATAAGTCATGTTTAAGGAAACAGAAAAGCTTGATGCTTCTCTGAAAAAATCTAATTTACATGAACCCAAAGCACAGTGTTTTGTAAAGGGGTTCCATTTTCATACAATAAGTGCATTTTTTTCCCTCATAATTGGAAAACAAAGTGAAGTGGGAGGTTTGGCTTTCCACAGTGAACCCCTGACCTCAATTCCATTCATTGTTTCCAGAAAGCGGAGGCAGTGTGGAAGCACTGTCACCTTTAATAACATAACATTATCGCACATTAAATGGCCATCAAACACTTTTACTGAATCATCTAAGCCACATTTGTTCTGCAGGTAAGAGAATGACTCAACTGTCACTTTGATGTGGAGCAGAAAATTGATCAGTTTTGTTGTTTTACAAAAAACAAACTCTCCTCACTGGTCATGTAGCTGCTTCTAAATAAAATACAGGTTGAATTCAGGCGTTTTCTCTTGAGGAACATATATAATAATCTTTTTGTTGAGGATAAAATGTTCTCTCTCTGGCCTTGTTCCCTGTGGAGAAGCAGGGTGCAGAGCCCTTGTTCATTTGACATGGCCCATCACCTGGCACACTGACTGTTCTAGAGGTTAAATGGACAAATCAATCATGTGACAGACTGCAGCCGGGAAATGAATGGCTGTAGCATAATCAGGCTGAGGACTAATCGGTCCTCAACCAGCTCGCCGTCTGTCAGATTGTCCGTCCGTCTGTCTGTGTGGCTCTTGCTAACTCACTGGGGGTCGGGGGCAGGACTGAGTATGCAATCTCAATACTTTGCAAAAAAAAAAAAGTATTTCCTGTGGATCCAAAGCCTTATATATCTTATTCCTCTGTGCCATAGACGTCCATGGTTGTCCTAAAACACATCAGTGAGCCACACTGTTACACTGGGTGACATGCTCCTTCATTACAATGAATGTGGGCACTGTAGTTTATTATGAATCGATCCCACATACACCTTCCTGGTAAATACTTGCTAGCACACCAAATATGTATCAATCCCAAAGGGAAAGTAGGATCAGATGTTTGTATTTGTGACCCATTTTTAAAGATTTACGTCTTCAGTATGAGCGAACAGGCTGAGTGCCACAGACAGGGGAGAGAAGTCTGAGAGTATCAAAAGACAGACAAACACATTGTGGGTTTTGGTCTTTTCATGGGATTTGTTGACATTAAGAAAAATAAAAGATTAACACCAGCCATGTCCCTTTACAATATCTAAGAACATTAGCTTCTTCTGCTGAACGAGAAAAAGGGTTTTGAAGAAAAACATTAATATGAGAGCTGAAACAATCAATCAATTTACCAAAAAAAAAAAAAAGAATCAAGAAAAACAATAATGCAAAAAGGCTGAACATTTCTTTCATTTTTGCTTCTTAAATGTGATAATTTGCTGCTTTCCTCAATTTCATATCAATGCAAATTGAAAATTTGGGGTTTTGAACTGTTGGTCAGACAAAATGAGCAATCTGAAGAGTAGGGATTTTCTAACTATTTTATGACACTGAATGATTAATTGATCAATTGGAAAAAATAATTGATAGAAGGGAAATAATCATAAGTTGCAGCACTAGTTTGTATTATTTAAAGACAGTTGATATAAAATAGTTCTTTTGGTGTTGGTATGGAAAATAAGACATTGTATCTGCACTGGTATCCATTGTGAGATCCAATGAATATTATGAGTGTGTGTTCTACCTTCAGGCTCCGACTCATGTTTTCAAACAATACCTGCATGTGGATAAAGGTGGAAACTGCACTCCTTTCTCTTTACACTCTCGAACGATGCGCGCCTTTACATTCCGGCAAATGTCCAACACCCTGGAAATAAAGTAAATGGGCGATTGAAAAACTCAAGTTTGGACCAGACAAAACAGAAATAAAATTAGACTTCGTAATGTCACAACTTGCTAATGAAAGGTTTTAAAAGTGCAGTCCAAACTGTGATGTTTGTGTTTAAAACATGATGGGGGGAATCAGGTGCAAAATTATTAAAATTTGGAAAAAGATCACAAGGCCTTGAAAGAGGAGGAGGCGAGACAGACTAACATGATGGCCATTGTGGTGTGGAAATGGCTGCCAGCCCTAAGCATGTGCAGCCGTGTGTGGAGTGTGGAGGATGGGGAGGAGGATGGGTAATGAGCCAGGCACATATGCTCGCCTCAGTGCCTGATCTCTTGGTCTCTCCCGTCAGGCATGTTACACGACATGGAGCTGAGTGTGTTCCTGTTTGTTGTGTGTGTGTAAAAAAAAAATGATGAAAACATGTAGAAAATGCAGAACACACCACATGTGGATGTGAGATGAATCTGTGCCTCACATTACATTTCCCCCACACCGAACACACACATGGATCTCTCCTCTGTCTGTGTGTCTGTGTGTGTGTGTGTGTGTGTGTGTGTGCGCATATATATCAATAATGGTGGGTTTGTAGGTTGAGGAGGCAAAGCTTCCGCCAACGCAGAGCTGGGTAATAGGGGAGAGAAGGCAGGCATGAAGATGAACATCAAAGACAGAGGCAAAGACAAAATAAAAGAAAGGAGGGGAAACAGGAGCAGGAGGAAGACAGAGGACTCTCTCAGGACTGAATGTGTGGGAGGTGAGTAAAGAAAAATGTTAACCGCTATTTAAATTTAACAGGGGAAAGCCCACAGCTCATATAAGTGTATTTACCTGTCCCAAGGCACAGAGGTTTCAAAGGACTCCCCGATCACATAGTAGTCCATCCCCAAGTCCTGTGCAGGAGACAACATTAGCGTTAGAAGGCTGATAGGTGAATGGTCTATCAGTTATGTTTCCCTGCACATAAGAAACCAGGTTATATAGGTAATCAGACAACAGGTTTACTTGCGCTGTAGCAACCTAGTGTTGTGATACAAAATTGTGTTTCTTTAGCTTTTTTGGTTTGAGGGTTTTTCTGTGTTTCTTGAAGCATTTGAGGAACAGGCAACTTCTTCGTGACATATCAGTTTATAGCTAATTTCATTGCTCAAATGTTTGTGGCGTGTTGCTTAGATGGTTACATTTTGTGAGAGAGGACTAATTTGTCTTTTCAAGCCAAACTTCCAAGCCATCATCTGTGCAGAAAGCCTGCCAGTTGTAGAAGTAAGAAAAGGTTGAAGACTGTGTATCTGTTCAGCTCTGGAACCTTAATTCAAGAAGCCACTTTGTGTCAGTTTCAGTTTTTCTTAAGACTTAAAGAGGCCTCTGACAGAATTGACCTAAGACAACTCTCGATTGTCATTCTGACTGCAGCCACTGTGCTGTCCTCATGACATAGATACCTCAGTGTTAGACACCCTGACAACAACTGTGACCAGATCAAATCAAAGACCTCCTGAGGTCACATTTTGCAGCCTTTCTGTGTTGCTCACTATCCTATCTGTTGTCAGACTGCGTCACCCCACCGCCCCACCTGCCCATCAGCTCAGGCTGAAAAAAAGCCAAAGGAGTGACCCACCCGGAGGTAAGCGATGACGAAGGTCAACATGTAGCCCCTTTGCCCATTGTCCTCTCCAGCTGCCAGGCCCCTGGAAGCAGATAACAGGGTTAATATTTAACAGCTCTTTTCTTCTAGCTTTGTTGGTCTGACCGCTCCCCCTCACAACAGCTGCCTGGGAGCCTGTCAATCCAACAACGTACAGATCAATGAAGCTATGCTCTGTGCATCGCCACAGGTCAGCCACACATCCATCACCTGCAGTGGGTAATCAGATTTTCATCTACCACCCAAACTAATCAGACCAAGCTCATTAGAAAATCGCTATATTGATTTTCACCCTTCTTCCTGTTTCTAGACACCACAAGAAAATATTCCTTACAGAACCACACTAATCCATCACTGGCACTTGATCTGATGGGTGATCATGATTTATTTGAAATAATGCAATAAAGCAGAGGGTGTTGCATGTAACTGACAAGTTTCTTAAGATTTAATTGCTGGCTACTACCAGGACAGTGCTCGAGCTACCTGCAAATCTGGGCACTTTGCCAAACGGTAAGACAAACAGTTATACATAGTCAGGAAGAAATGGGTGATGTTGCCCAGTGAGGAGCACTGAGGATCCCTGGTATGTCCCTGTTGGACTGGTTTAGGTTACATTCAACAAGGTGATGGTTACAACAAGAGTAAACTGGTAACATTTGCATCAGTGCTTCTTTTTAAGTGAGCCAAATTTCATTTATATTTATATGCAAGGTATATTAACAATAAAATCTGTTCTGGAAGCAGATTGGTTTAAATTATTATTATGTCGCCATGTACCCAAGATTTATTAAGCTAGGATGAGAAAATCTTCTGGTAATAAGAAAGGAAAAGAAGAAATACGGGAAAAGTGCTAAGTAGTAAAGTTGGAAAAAGAAAATAAGAAATGGTTCAATGACAGAAAAGTTGCATTGCAGATGATGCCTTTAAAACTTAATTGCCTTAGAAATTTTTGATTCATCAAAATTACATTTGTACCACTTTTTAAATCATGAATAATAATCACAGGAATCTTCCCAGTTTCTAAAAATATAACCAAAAGAAAGGATACCGGAGCATTTAGAAAATAAAGAATAACATTCACACATATCAGTTCTCTTGTTAGATAGCTGTGTATAAATGGCTTCTATCTGTTAACGACACAAAGCATTTTTGAAACAGTGAACTCTTCACCGAAACAACATGTTCAAAATTATGACTTCACGGCCATCACAAATAAAAATCATTTTTGATCATTATAACCAGTTGAATGGCACAAAGGTTAACTTATTCTAGGATGAACCCATCTGTGATGCTTTTTAGGGGTGAGGGGTTTGAAAACAGGCTCAGGATAGAGAGAGAGAGTGTCCCTCTCTGGCTGACAGGTAACTGATTTCCACCAAAAGTCTTCATTGATCCATTTCATGATCAATCACAACAGCAAAGCACTTCCAGGCTGTGTCCCCTCGCCCTGTGCTGCCTGAGGGGAGCTGTGCCCCACTATCACCGCCCACACCACACCTACTTTAACATAAAAGCTGGCCTGACAGGAGGACATCTACAGGTGATCCATCAATCCGAGACAAACTACTGAGTGGAAGACCAAATCTGAAGAGTGTAACTATGCTTCTACATCCTTTCCACTGCTACCACGCAATGGCTGGTGAAAAAAAAGGTGCCATCAACACCTCAGGCAGCTTCCTATCATGTTCAAAATCCTGCTAAATGGTGCTTTGTCATTTGTGTTGCCAGGATCTTTAAGTGATCTTTGCGAAGTGGGGTGTTCTGATACAGGAAGAAGTTGAGGCTATAAATACTTACCCAAATTTTGCAGCAATGTCATAAACTTGTTTCTCATGCTGCAGAACCTTCTCACGGTCTCCCTCGAACAGCAGGGTGGCCACACACAAGCGGTTGGGGTCGAACCCTTTGAACTGGTGATTAAAGAGTTGGATTCACTTTCCATGAACAAACACTCGCACCAAGCAAATGGTGATATTCGCCTCTAATTATTATTTTTTTTTACCTTGGTGATGTAAAATTTCTTCAACCCGTCCAAAAAAGATGTGAAAATTGAAGACACTTGAGGCTTCAGGGCATGACCTGTGAAAATATCAGATAAAAATCAGCTCCATTTATTCACAAAGACGGGAGCCTGAAAAACTGATAATATTTTTCACACGTTAGTCACACCCCGCTTCTGCTCGCATGCTTCAGTGTTCTGAGAGGGCAAGCGAGTCAGATTTATTTGGGGGTTTCAAACAAAAGGAGGAAAAACAAATGGTAACATTTGAATAACTTTACAACTGGCCAGTGGCTGCCAGCGACAGCGACTATAAATCAGAGGGTTTCCGAAGGGAAGTGGGGTTGACACAGCGATATCCGTCTTCCTCACCCACACTTTTTGATTTATTCCTGATCGGACGCACAAAAGCGCCCGTGGACAAGCGAAAATGAGGGGCTGGGGCCAATGGGATGGTTATCAATCACAGCGGGGAAGTCACGGGTGATGTCGCCGAGACTTAACAGTTCATTTATTTCCCTTCATGCTCAAGTCTCTTCATCACTTAGTGTCCTAATTGTTTCCATTCCAAAATTTGATTGCAGGTCTTTAGGTCTCTCACAGCTATCATACTCGTTAATTAAATACTGAACATCCAGAGAGAGAAAATTACACCTACACTGTGCATAATTTCACTTTTAACTCTCCCCTCCGTGGTTTGCTTGTTTTTTTTGCATATCAACACACCCTGCTACTTACTACAACATTCTCATTTTTCATCTTGTGTATCAAGACAGGCAGTGCTAAATTGTACTTGTAGTCCCAATCTGAAAAAGACCTGTGAATACATCAACTCTCCTTACTCAACAGCCAACATGATTAAAAGTGAGGACAAGCCACTAATAAGCCCAAGAAGGTATCACAGAGCCATGAGTTTTAGTTATTAGTGAAAAACCTGGTCGCTTCATCTTCCCTACTTAATGCTAAGAAGTGCCTACTCTGTGAAAAGTGGAAATATAGTGGAGATAATGAGATCCCTGGAGACTGGGGAACTTTACAGAGATCTCTGGCAACGGCAGATGTATTCCACTAGACCTTAAGAAACAACATCATAAAACTTCAATGTAACAACTACTTAATTTTGGCCAGGGTCATTTTTTTTATCTTGTTTCAATTCCTTATCTGTGTGTGTGTGTTTGTGTGTGTGCAGCTATTCTGCTACAGAAATAATAATCAATTTACCAATTAAGTGCTTCAGAAGGTAAAATCATTGGATTCTGTGCCATTGCCATTCATTGTTCTTCTCTCAGAGGTATATAGTACATCAATGAAGCATCAACCCAATATTGAAAAAAAGATATACAATGTGAGGAACAATATTCAACTCTAAATAAATATGATTACTATTATACTGCTGGTTAAAAGCCTGCCATGTGCCACATGTCGCAAAGCTCTCTGATCAAAGCCAAAGGTTACATCAGTGCCTAAAAGGAAAGAACACTTCCTGAAAATGAAAACCAGGTCAATTATAAAGCTTAGTTGCAGTGATATACTGAGACTGGGCTAAAATGTGAATGATGTAACAAAACTTACCAAATTTAAACTGTTCATTATCCATGAGTCGTATAGATGCTGGAGCACACCTCTGGAAAAAAAGTTGGTCTATATTATTTTGTTTGAATCACAGGTCCTGCAAATTGGCAGAATTATATTAAATGAAAAAAAAAAAAACTTCCAGATCATATCAGACTAAATTTAACCAATATTTATCAGTGTCAAAATTCAGTGCAACTGTTGGAACTTTGGCTTTAAAGCCTTTGGTTTCTTGTATGTACAGTCTGTAGATGATGCATTTGATAAAAAGTTCCAACTGGCACAGTCAAGTTTTGATTTGCTTTGTTTTGGGATCATCACCCTGTGCTGCTTTGGTTGCAGGAGGAGAACGGAAAAAACAGCGAGGGGAAAAAGGATGAACTGCACTTATTATGTGAATTTACTGATCAACTGAGGAGAAGTATTGATGTTGGACATCACACAAAAACTGGGCTTGGTGTCTTTAAGCAACAGTGGAAAATACTGAACCCACCATGTTCTACTGGTGGACACAAACACTAAAAATATGCCTTTGCACTTGTAAGATGCTGTTAATATAAAGACAACATGTTCTGCAGGGTCTGGGCAATAAAGAGTCTCAACATCTGGTTACAGTTTTTTTTTTATAATAGCTGTAATAGTGTTGAATTATGTTAGTCTAGTTTGGACAAGTTATGTTTAAACATAAAGAATAAGTTGGTTTAAAAATACGATTTGATTTGTTTTTTTTCTGATTTCTGTTGGCAGGCCAGTTTTAAGTGAAGAGATCAAGTGAAGATTGGAAAGTGCTTACTTAGTACTTAGTACTTACTACTTACTTACTACTTAGTTTGGGCACACACACTAAAAGTGTCTGGCATTAGTCTCATGTTGAGACAGGGGAAGAAAGCAGTGACTAACAAAGTGCAACATTTTAAAGAAAATATTAACACGTTACCTGTCTGGCAACTTCTCGAAGACAAGCAACTCCCTGCTCAAAATTAGGGAAAACAACCGAGCCATATTTCTGATACTCCGGCATGGGACGAATCTTCATCGTTACCTCAGTAACCACACCCAGGGTTCCTGTGGAAAATCATAGTGAGAGAAATTGAGTTGCACAAAAAGAAGTAAATCAATTCCCACAATTTATATGACCTAACCCCCTCTTAGAGCGGAACTTAAGACTGTTTTACAGGGTTCTGGTACATGTCCCAAGGGTTTTTGGGGTGACCTTTGTATCACATTTCACCTGGTAGATCTGGTTTTCTACCACACACTGGGGGACAACTAAGATTTATCAGCTTAAGAGCACAAGGAAATAAAGCAGGGCTCTATCAAAGGCAGTGAGGCCAACAGCAGCACCACATATACAGGTACAAGGAAACCTCGGGCTGACCTTATGACCCTGAAAACTGTCAGTCGTAAGCTGCTGCCGCTGAAGGAGTCACATTGCATGTCTGAAAACCAGAGTGTCTACTCTCCCTCCCACAGCAAATGTGTCTGTGATTAATACTTGGGATAAAAAAAAAGAAAAAAAAGCTGTTCTCATACAAGTATCCAAGTTGACAGTGAGCTGTAACTAGGGAGTGCCGTTTGCCATCCCTCCAATCTGTAACATTAATATTATTTATCATAAACCAAAAAAGTCTGTGTTTATATGTTGTGACACTATGTAGACCTTTTTTTCTGACTTTCAAGAGAAAGATATAGGGCTTCAGATTTCCCTCTCTTAACTACAGCGAGTGTATGAAATTACATTTAGTGACAAGAAAAACAGAAAATCTGATGCAATCTCTGCAAAAGACGACATGAGAGCAACATGGACCAGATGTTGGCTTTGGCTTTCTATGGCTTTTTTAATTTAGGAAATGTTTGACACACACACAAAGTGCATGGTAAAAAACTCAATTATTCTCTAGTTTCTGCCACAATAAATATCAGCAGCAGGAATCCTAGTCAGACATTCATCTTAATGAGATAATACGAATGTGTGTGCAATGTGTCATAACATCTAACCTAAGTATAATAACCTCTTCCATTAAAAATGACAAATGTCTGGGAAAACATTGTGTGAATCATCATCATTGATAACAACAGACAACAATACAACATCACTAATAAGAGCATATATAGCAAATAGAACATTATAAAGAAATGGTAAGTCCTATGGGGACCTAGCTGAATGTTTTTCTTTCACTGGTGAAACTTTGTTTCATCTTAGCATGAGGAATAGTTTACGGTTGGGTCCAGAAGTCTGAGACCACTTTCCCATCCTAATTCCCAACAACTTACTTGCCAGCCAGTCAATTATTTTGTGAATCCAGTTTTCATGTTACAGGACCAATTAATTTCACAATACCTTTGTTCTCAAACTGCATATTTGCAAACTGTATGATGTGCTAACACTGTGTTACAGTCATTTAAGGTAGTGCTGGAACAACACGTCAACTGACAGAAAAGTAATGTTCGGCAATTTTGATTATCTTCAATTGTTTAAGTGGTTTATCGAACATAATGCCAACTTCTTAAATGTGAGGATTTGCTGCTTTTTTCTGCTTTCCATCATTATAAATTAAGTATATTTGGAGTTTGTATTGTTGGTCGAACAACACAACTTGTAATGGTCATATAGGAGATTCAATTGGCTCAATGATTAATCAAGTAATTGTAAAATGAATCAGAAAGCATAATTGTTAGTAACAGCTCTACTTTCATGTTTGTGAATTTTATCAGTGTAAACCAAAGCTTTTGACTTTGCCCAGCCTGAATGCTTTGTATCACTACATACAATGTCCATTTAGAGATGCATCTCCCCTGAACATAGCTGGTCCATTAGGAGGCTTCCTCAGCCTGTTATGGCTGTTAATGAGCCCTCTAATGTGACACTACAAGCCACACGCTGCTCCCTAGTGGTCCAGTGGAAAACATGTGACTCCATTAGGCTTTAGACAGGCCCCTCCCTACTGATAGTAGGCAGGAGGAGTCACTGAGGGAGCAATACGAGAGGAGTCAGAGAAGGCCAGAGATCGAAGAGAGAGAGAGAGAGAGAGAGAGAGAGAGAGAGAGTGAGCGTGTGTGTGTGTGAGTGAGAGAGAGAGAGAGAGAGAGAGCGTGTGTGAGAGAGAGAGAAGCGAGAGCTAGGGAGGAGCTAGTGCAAAAGGGTAAAGGAGGGTGAGCAAGTGAGAAATAAAGGGAGGTAATAAGAACAGCAAGGTCAGAAAAACACTCTCCTCCTGGGGACGAATGCAATGCTAAGAAATGCTGGATTGCAGCTTAAGCCATTTTTGCCATGACTGAAGCTATTAAACCAACCTCCTCTTACAGGATTAGTATTTGGCGAGAGGAACTATTCCCTATAAATTTTATAAATTATAAATCTCTCTGCTTTTAATATCAAATGCTTTTGAACAAAAAAAAAGCTTTGGGGACAACACTGACCACTGTGAAGCCACCACTTAATAATGAAAAAACCACCTCTGTCCATTAGTTTAGCACTGGTTGGCTTTACATAGCGACATTACATCCACAGTTGTGAGGGGTTTAAATGACAAAGGAATTATCATTGATTATTCCAATCATCCTTTACACTGGTTGTAGCAGGGGTAAAGAAAATACTTTGCATTCAGGCTATTTCAAGGTCACAGAGATAGAGAGACCCGGTTGTTGTGCAGTGAATGAGAAATTCGAGGTTTCACAGTAATTTCTAATAAAATGGATGCGTTCCACTTAGCATGCAGAGCATAGCTGAGGGTTTTAGAGTGGTGCTTTGTTGTTGTTGTGGTTCTTGTGGCCTACTGTCAGACTGCAGGATGGGATTTCTGGGGTGAGGAGATAGATAATTTTAATGAAACCGAGCGGTGGTGTGACCTCTCAGCTCTGGTGTTAGGCCTCCCAGAAGAACATGTACTCCCAGAGACGTGTGGTCCTGTCGCATCTCTATTTGTGCACCAATCCCATACGGCAAACTCACCTTCAGATGGTTTACTCTACATGCTCTTATATGTTGCAATACTAGACATTAGCCTATATCTATTATTATTAGTGATAGTTAAACTAGGCCTTTTTTAAAAGATTCCTATGTAAAAGTGGTCTCAGACTCTTGGACCAGACTGTCTGTTGAATTGCACATTTTGGAGTTTTGGAGTTTTTGGAGCCATGGTACAAGCTATAAAATTTCTGTTTTTACAAATATTTAACTTTGAAAAGGTTTTTTCTGTTGACAAAGAGGCAAGTCTTCAGTTTTTACTTTAATGACAGAACGTGTTTTAAGGATGAAGAACTTAAAAATACTGCAGTTATTTTGGAAATGTGGCTTTACAGCTGAATGTTAACACTCTTCCTCACCGACTACATGAAGTTTTCTGACCTCTGATAAACATACAGTATGTCTACCCTCTTAAAGTCTTAACGTTATCTAAAGTCTTAATGTTCTGATGACTGTCATAATGTTTGAATTATTTCACATGCTTTTACACATAGAAATGTACATGTGAAAGTTCCCTTTCATTTTTAGTTCATACATATCAGATCGGAAAACTCGAGGGGGCCGTAATTTTAACATCAGAGGGGAAGTGTTGACAGGAACCCTGATTTACAGTACTGTGTTCAGTGCTGTCACTGCCCTACAAATTTTCCTTTTGGAGAAGTAAGATTAAGGGAAACTACATGAACTCTATATAACCCCATGTACTTGCATGTGTTTACAATTTATGGCAAAGATTATTCAGGCATAAAGAATTCATAAGATCATTAACTGTATGCTGACTGAGTCATGCAGAGTAAAAATAAATCTGGCTGACTTCATATAAAATATTGCCAACATGACAAGTGTCAGCCAAAGCAGGAGGTCTGATTGTGATCAGATTACACAGGTCTAGGTTTAGTATCACAGAGTGGCTTATACTGTATAACCAGAACAGTCATGATGCAACTTTTTAAAATCTTTCATTTATGCAGATGTATTACTGGTAATTCAGCAATAAATAGCAAACTTTGATTTTGATCTTATACTGGTGTGCTCTTGGAACTGAAATCAGTTCTAAAGAGTACAAATGGAGACTTCTTCCATGATCCCAGCCCAGTCAGGGAGCAGATTGCTGAGCTTTGTAGGGCGAATATAAAGTTTGTATCCACAGCTGTTTAACATAACGATGCCAAGAGTCTCTGAACCTCCTCATTATGTAGGGGAAACCTGGCATATGGCAGTATTCTCTGTGGGCATTCACAAGGACAGGGCACCGCAGATGGGGTAGGGAGGACACTCGCTGGTTCCTAACTAACACCCCTCCAGATCACATCTTCACCAAAGCTGGTTAATGTGTAAGAACCCCACAGCATGAGAACCGCCCTGATGTTACTGTTTTATCACAAAGATTTTTACAGACCCACAAACTCATGTTAACACACACGTGCCTATGTACCCACGTGCACTGAAATCACATAAGAAAGGAAGCAAACCTTCTGAGCCCATGATGAAGTGGTGAATATCTGGGCCCGTGGACATGCGTGGGCCCTGACAACTCTTTTCAATGACACCTCGAGGGGTCACCATCTTTACGTGGATGATCTATTCAGTCAGAAAACAGCAACACAACAAACACTTTTTAAGAAATAAAAATATGCAAACATTAGTATACTTTTCTTTCACAGTTCAACAAATGTTTACAAAAAATATAATTTGGATATTGTGTGCCACGTATTTCAGTGCATTTCCAAACTGATACTGTGACCATTTCAGAGTTGAGGGTAAAGTCCAAAAAACTTTTGCAAATAATTTTCCTTTCTAATGACTACACAGTAACTGCTATGTCCTGACTGTCATCCCTTGTTTGAAAAAAACATGAGCAGGAAGATAAAGGTGAGAGTGGGCGGCTTACCAGGTCCTCAATGTTGCCGTAGATGTTCTTCTTCATGCCTGATGCTCTGGTTGCTACCCAGCCCCCCAGGGAGCTGAACTCCATGGAGTCAGGCTCGTGCCCTGTACAGTAGCCACTCTCATTAAGCTGCGAAAAAAAAAGGAAAAAAACAAACAAACATACATTTGTTGTTGCAATTAAAACTGAGCCAAAAGTGTTTGGAAAACACTGATGTTGTAAACCCACAAGAATCTTTTAATAACATCCAAAAAGAATGAGCAAGCAAAGGGAAAAAAATAATTGCAGCTCTGCCACTGAATTTCACTGCTCTCACTATGCTGCAATGCTAAAACCCAGGGTTTATGGCATCATAGATTTTTACAACAGCCTAAAATAAACCAAGTGGAAAGGGCATGAAAAGACTAAGACGGGAGATCAGTGCATTATTTGGACAGTGTTGAATTCCACTGCTTGACTGGAGCACTGATGTCATGTGAAAAATGACGGCTGCACATTTTCAGGGGACTTGTTTAAACCTTTTTTTATTCAAATGACAATTACAGAATCTTCACCTCGGCATGTCTATGTAAGTCTGTGTGTTATACAAGGATGATACGAGATTGCTGAGCATTCAGCTTTCACAGCTGCAACCACTTTTGTAATGGCACACAAAAAAGATCCTTTGAGCGACCCAGTAGCCCTCATCGGACGCACCATTCCTCGGGGGTCATCAGGAACCCACACATTCTCGACAAGGCAGTCCAACCCCCGAAAAGATTGCATTTGTAGTCAGAACATTTAATAGTAATAATAATAATAAGGACCTTAAAGAACATCAACAACCCCCACCAGAAGCAATACAGGGGTAAAAAATCAGGCCTTGTTTTATCACAGCACTCCCCTGGAAGGCAGTTTATAATGCAGACCCATCTGCTCCATCAAAATGGCCCCGTCTAAATGCAGAGGTGGAGTCTGCTTTAGATGCAGCTCACGCATTCCTCTACATCAAACGCCCGCTCCTTTTCCATTTTTCTGAATTAGCTTGATGGTGCCATCTGCTCATGACCACCGCCTCACTCTCTAATCTCTCCCCTTCAGCACTCTGCTCCTGTCTCAAACGCCTTCCTAAACCCTGTTCGATCCTCTGAGCGAAAAGTACCAAGGTGACTGAGCATGGACAACCTGCATGTGAATGGTCACACAGCTTGACTGTTGGCACATTTTTACAGTAATGTAAGCTCTTCCAGTAATGAATATGAATATGGATGAGCGGTACTCACCAATCTCTCCAGGTCCTGACCAACGATGCCAGCTTCCACATGGGCAGTTAAATTTTTCTCGTCAATCCACAGAATGCGGTTCTGCAGTTAAAAAAACAAACAACAAACAACATTATGACTGAGGAGGTCATAAACATTTTGTATAAATGATTTCTGCCAGACAGTATAAAAAAATACTGTTATGTTGTTTGTTTCCTTTGTTTGAATGGAAATCACATCATTCATTTAATGTAGGTTCAAAAGTAGTTGTGAAAATGTTAGAAATGCATGTCACCATGTCTGTCATCGGAACTCTAAACCTGCCTACATCTGTTATGTTGACTTTGACATAAACACTGCCTTCAAGCGCAGTCCATGGAAACAGTTCCTTTGCCAGTTTGCTTACAATACTGAGAGTTTTGCACTAGTATGTCCTTACAGGCTAATGGTCACATGACTGTGGGTAAATGTGTGCGGAGGGGCTAAGGGACAAAGAAAAGAGTCAGTTTCCTCAAGGTTAAACTCTTATTTAGCCTCTTATTTGGGCCGCTGGGCACTTGGCCTACCCCTACCTGCAGGAGGTCATTTCACACCTGCCATCAATTATTCTCCAGAGGTAATAAACTTTATGTTCCTACCACACTGCTCCTTTCATGTGCTTCCATTGGAGCCACCTCACCTCTGACCCCTGACACAGGACACTGGTCACTGGTGTCTGTGGCACCAAACTCAATGACTGGTAGGCTAGCAGCATCCAGACAGCTTATATATCACCTCTATGTGCGCCAGGATCAAAGGGTTACACTGTACTGGTGACAATATTCACCATTTTATATTATAACCAATGAAACTTTATCATGTTCATGATGAGGGCAGATGTATTCCCTTAAGATTAATGGCTGATGTCAAGGAATCATAATTGTGTTCCAACTGCACACTAAGTACACACTCAAGACATTTTTTGGTTTCAAAATTAATAATGCAGGAATATTACTAATAAGAAGATAGATATTCAGAAACAGTTTACATGTTTAAATTCACTGTTTTTTTTCAGTTATCTCTCACACTTTATGCCCTAGTGTCTCTGAATAAGAATACTGATACCCAATGAGTCTCTCTCTTCAGACTGTTTTTCCGACCTCAATGACCAGATAAACAGTTACACCAAAACAGTTTCATGCAAGTTAATTCAGAAGCCCTGCAATTACCAGCTTGGAAAAACCATTAAATATAAGTTGAGATGGTGTCAGGGCGTGTTGAATGTTGCGCTATATTTTGAGGCTACAGCTCGTCATGGTGTTATGTTACATTACATAATATTAATGGCACATGATTTCATATTTTGTCACCCTCCATTTATAACCATGAGGGATCAAAAATGCATTAACACTTAATGTAAGCTAGTACAACAGTCTCTCAGACACAGACTCAGAAACACAGTGGTAGTATTTATTAAACTATATTTCGCAGACTGAATTTGATATTTTTTCAGTTTTTCTCGTCATCGGTGACATGTACCGACACAGGTGTTTACATACCATCTGTGAGGTATCCAGGGAGACAATGGAGCGAGTTTCCTCTTTGGGGCACTCGAGAGCACTGGAGACACTAGTCCCTCCTGAGAGAAGGAAGGCAACAATATCAAGAGGAGTTACAGTGGAGAAGCCTTCAAACGGACTATGTGAATATACTGGATAATTTCCTGGTTTCAAGTTTTTAACATTAGCACACACATATACTCACAACATGCACACTGCTACCCTCTATATCTTGCACTAGCATAAGCTCTGGCAGCAGAGATATTGATGAATGTAGGACTGGGTACCAAACCTCAGACTGAATGTGCCTGTAGCATTGAGTATTGAAAAAGCAGTTTGCACAGTGCTAAGAGCTCAACCTAAGGACACAGTTCATTTTTCTAAAATGACAAGAGGCTTCAGGACTTAATTGCATAACTATGACTGGACTTTCATTAATTATATCATCTTACGAACTACTTCACAAATTCCTGTAATACCGTATAAGATTCATTTTCGCTACTGTGCCATCCTGATATAGTCAACAGTAGTGGATGATAGGGGACAGGGTGGGGGAGCAGCAGTGCATTATTTACCAGGTTCATTCATAGATTGTGTGGTTTCATTAACAAAAAAATAAAAATAAAAATCACCAGCATGGGATGGGAATAAATAATGTATTAATGTATAAAGTACATCAATTTTAAATACACACCTAGTCTCCTGTATGTACAGTAAATGACAGACTATTATGCTGATTAGAACCTTTAATGTCATGACTCACCTCCATATGGTATCAAACAGACATTATGTTTGGATGCGAGTTCCACAATTTTCACTACATCATTGTGGCAGTCTGCAATGACACAGAATATCACTTTAAAAATTAGAGGCCATCATAAGAGAAATGCTTCTATTTATTGTGCTATATTGCATTCATAAATTAAGTGTTCTCATAATAACAAGAGTAGACGCATTGCAAAGGAAATAAAGGATGGCACAAAACACAACATATATACAGAAGACAATAAATAACTTTATATGGTCTGAGCCATTAGAGCAGGGGGACCAGCAGAGAGGCAGGGTGCATTTTGATTTGCCTGATGGTTGTGATTTGCCTGGGGCTTTCCTCAGGCGGAGTCAGACTGCATGAAGCTACGCTCTCTGGGGTGGGATGTGCTGGATCAATACAAACCTGGTTTAGCCAATCACGGAGCCCACATCCATTCACACTGGAGTGGTGAGCGAGTGGGAAGAGTAGCAATACCCACCTACATGGATGTGCTTGACTGGCCTCAAGTGCTTTTAGAGGCAGTGAGAAATGCCTTGTGTGCGAGTACATTTTGCCATCCAATTAAACACACAGCTTTGGCCTGCGGATTACAGTTCAACAAACTAAACCTCCACTTAAAATACACGTCTTGACTTCGAGGGACTATTGAGGTATGCAAATTACAGGTCAAAACATCAATTAGACACACAGTAAATGAGAGCGTATTTGCGAGGTCAGAAAAATTAAAATTTGGTGCCAGTGTGGAGGAAACGATGCCTACAGTTGCTTGGTGATTTGCTGCCCATTTGGGAGACTGCTAATCAAGTTTCAACCATCAGTCAACGCTCATTTGCATGATAAAATAGTGCCAGCCATAACAACAGAAAACCAATCTCAGAATCATAATTCATGGGTGTACTGTGCAGGGCCAGACTGTGGAGTATTGGGTGTCAACCGTCCTCCCCCTGACGCTTCTTATTAAGCCTCCACTCATACATATTAATATCCCTGCCTCTGCAGAGATTAACCCTTTAAATCACCTAAGCCAGTAGGGGGATCAGTGATGCTACGCAAGAGGAGAAAAACAGACCAATAAAAAAAAAAAAAATATATAAAAAAAACCACACAGCTTCTGAACTCACTTGGCCATAGCACCATATCTGGAACACGACCAAATCTCCCTTCTCGGAGGGCAAAGATCTCGTGTAAGCAATGGCCTAAAGGAAAATACAGGAATGAGACAACTTAAGTCCATGGAAATTTTAATATGATCATCACAAATAGATGCATTATTGCTTAATTAAAAATCAAGGGTTATGCAGGTTGAAAGTAATAAAAGGTTATAATGTAAGTGAATTTTTTTCTTTTTCTTTTTTTCTTACCGTGGGCACGAAACACCCGGTCCTCTGCATCATGAGAGAAAGGAATACCTGTGGATTTCAGTTCCTCAATGAAGGTCTCGTTAAGAGTGGGAGGATGTACAGCACTGCTATTCAGAATGGGCTGAAACAAAACAAGCCATTGAGGTTTTGGACCGTGACTGAGCGTTCTTCTTTACCATTCAGTGAAGACACATGAAATGTACTCACTGTTGCTGGGGTTTTATGCTGCAGACTGGCTCCAAAGGTGCTTTCAAACCAATCTTTCAGACCAGGGATGATCATACCACTTAGTCTATACCTGGATTAAGACAGATAATGTGAATGAATTTGAAAAAAATAAATAAATCAACTAAATCTCATGTATTAGTGATATCCAGCAGCGAAAGTCAAAATCTTGAAATGGAAATATTTGAATGCTTGTCTGGTCTTATTTACTTTGAAAACCAAATGTGTGTCTAATAAGAAAAGATTGTGAAGTTTGAGTCCAATGAGGTTATTAGGCAAGCAGAGCAGTGGTGACAGTGCTGTCCGTTTGAATGCCCTCGCCATCCCTTGCATAATTGAGCTGCTGGCACAGCTAGGACCAGCCCATCAGGGGACTGTGGTGTGCCTTTGTCCAAGAGACCATGAAACACACTCCATAATGAAAAAGCCTCTGTCACAGTGAGCGCGGAGGAGGAGAGCACTGCCTCTGACATTCATTTAACTGCGCCACAGCCTTGGTTACTGTACGCCGCCTAGGTAGCTTTTCAGTTGAGAGGGAGCGGAGCAGTTCGTGGCAACTGCTGCAACAGGAGGAAGCCATTTGCTGTGCAACATCCTGTTCAGCTCCACTCATTACTCAAAATACATCCTCATGCACCCTGTGCCAGGCCTCCGTATTTGCAATTTGACAGGAAAGGGTGCCTCTACCAAAGTCATACGTCATGATTACAATCACAAGACCCATCTCTACTTCTGCTCTTGTCATGAGAGACAGGTGATGAAGGTGCAGAAAGAGCTGGTCTTTGTTATATTCAGTGAGTTTGAAGAGTATTTGCTGTGTTTCTGCACACCCTCAGACATTTAAACAAAATCGTTCTTCAGTGAATAACTGTGTTTACCCACAACTCCCCAGAGACACATCAGTAATTACAAACATAATGCGTTCCATTTCTGAACAGATTGGGAAGAGGTTTCTGTTAATGAGCAACAGAGTTTGGGAAAGCCGAAAATCCAAACCAGTGACCTTCTCAGATGACAATGAACAGTTGAAATGCCAACCACTAGGTGGCAGTAGCACCACATTGCTTTGAGCGTAGGAAGGAGACAGCAACTGATCTCAAAAGCTGGGTTCACAGCATGGGCTGTGAAAGTGTTCAAGGCATAACTCCAGCCTCAAGTCACACAGCAAGTATGTATGCTGAAGCTTAACACCATGGCTATACTAAAACTAAATCAGAGGCTGTGTACTGATTGATTTCTCTAAATCATAAACAGTTGAGCATGAAATGCACACCCAAGAGCACTGATGTGACATTATACTGTACCTTTTGCCAGTAAATTCTGCTTGACCTTTCTTATTGAAGAGGAATCTTGAATCGCTGTATCCCCAACCATTCCATTTCATAATCTCCTGCCTGTGGAAATATAAATATTGGCACAGGTTAAGTTAACAAGTTATATGCCTTATACTAAAGTTAAGACATGACATGAAATATGATCAGAGGTAGTTACAAAAACACATGTGAAGCTGATTCCTTGGGGAGGTGACCTGGTAAATTCTTAATTTGCACCACAGTCCCTCTGGGCTGTTATGGGGTTTGCATAAGCAATTTCCACAAGATAAAAAAAGAAAAGTCCTTCCTGATAAGCTGATACTTCCTGCTGATATTTGAACACCCAGACGTACAGCATTTTGCTGAGAGAAAATGTCGAACTTTCCTCATTTTATTCAGTCATTCATACACTTTTGATTTATTTAAGGTGGGGCTGGCTATCAGTTGGCAAATTTACAGTATGGGAGGCTGCAGACAGGCACACCTACAATATTCCCTGGGTGCCCAGCCCACCACTATACAACGCTCTGCTGACAGGCTCGCAGGAAAACAGCTTGTTGACATGGTAATGGAGAAGAAGAAGCAACACATTCAAACAGCATATCCATCAACAGGGGAAGCTACATATTCTCCCTGTGGTGTTTCCATTTTAACACATGTAAATATTTCACATTTATGACAGCTGACAGGCATTCTTATCTACGGCTACTTCGATTACTCAGGTCCCAACTGCCATGGTCAAAGAAGCTTCAGCTAATCATTTAGGAGAGCCATCCACTTAAATAGCACACTAGCACCAATTCTTTGCTGGCGAAAGCAACAAGCACATTGGAATGCAGCCAGTAGCTAATAAAGGTGTTCCCCCAAAATGGCTGAGCTTACTATCCAAAGAAGATGTGGAATTTCTCAAACAAATGCTACTATGCTATTACTGCTGAGGGGTTATTCAACTATAATCACCAGCTGCACAACTAGAGATGATGCTACATTGTCTATGCTGTGACACTGTGAGGAGCTTGTGTGCTGTGCTTAGGCTCGCTGCAGAGAGACAGCTCTACCACCACTCACAGAGCAACCGTAACTCATGAGCCACTTGGGATGGGATTCTAACACAGTGGAGTAAAAGCCATAATTAAGATTAATACCTGCCAAAATGGAGTTTCCTATAAATTAAGAGTGAGAACAGAAATGAGAGTGACACACTGAGTCATATTTTAATGAATCCTGTCCACCAATGATATGCTGTCATGGGTGCAGAACATACTGACTAATAATCAATCAATAAAAGGGAGAAAGTGTGTGGCAAGGTCAGTGAGTACAGGCAACTGTTATCAACTGACAATTTCAGGACATTAGCAAGATTCTGTTTAAAGGCGCAACTGTGGCGCTTGATGAATTTGTTGTGATAAACTGAGCTCTTTTCCAGCCTGCATGCATCTTGACTCGGACTCTGCATGTTTGTCCATCCTGGAAGTGGGATCTCTCCTCTTTCTCCTCTCTTGCTCTTTCCATATCAGAATTGCAGGTCCAAGGACAGAGGGTGTAGTGCGCTGTACAGATAGTGAAAACCTTTGAAGAAAATTTTGTGACTAGTAATTTCGAGCTATATAAATAAAACTGCCATGACACGATTTAACTGGACAAATACTGGATATAACAAAAAGGAAAGAGAATAAGATGAATCTCAGAAAATGAACAATAATAAATGTGAATGTGTAAATAGCTTAACAGCTTTTAACACTCAACTGAAATTGTATGAAAACTGTTTTACCAGCATATTTTGTGTTTTGTAATGCTCAAATTGTGTAATGGTGTGTATTTAACACTAAGATGTAGAATGATGTTGCTACAGATGATGCTTGTTTGGAGAGAAACACTTGATAAAAGTTGTCAATAATGTCAATCAGTCTTTGACTATGAGCTGAGATGAGGTCATGATATCTGTGGAATTGCACATATGTTTAATTAAATGTACCTATGTACCACCACACTCGACAAATAGTAGAAATACCTCTCAGTAAAATGGAATACAATTCAACAACAGCTCAAAACTTAGCCTCCAAAATGACCATGCTGAATTGACACCTCTCTGAAACAGTTGTGACACAAAAATGTAAAATTTTAACCTTCATGAAGGTAGGATTTATTGCAGGACTAAGGTATAGCAAGGTGTACCTAATAAACTGGTAAGTTTATATAGGTCATCTAAATGAAAGCAAAAGTGGATATAACTTTGTCAAAGCATCAGTGGTGGCTGCAGTGGCTGAGCCATAATTTTAAAACCGGAGCTCAGGCCACACCAAACCAGAAAATCAGGGTTTTTGCCTGAAACCATGAACCATGCGAGAAAGGCACTAAGAATGTCAGAAAAAATCTACAAGGGCTAAAGTGAGGAAGTCTCTTGGTACTTCTCCAAACAACCTGTTATTTTGTTATTTCATCATGGCATGTGATTGTTTAAAAAAAAAAAAAACAAGGGCGCCCAACACTTTGTGTGTTCCTGAACTTTACTGCACTGTTGAATTGCCCCTGTTCGAAATAACAAAAATATTACTTTATAATTATGCTCTATACAGATGCCCATTGTTGTTCTGTTACTATACTATCATGTTTTTGGACAAACCCACTGACTGTTTAACTATTAGCAATTCTATTGTCGTTTTCCTGAAATATCAAACTTCCACTGATAACACTAAATGACTCAAGTTCATCATTACATCTGGTATAACAGTCAGGGCCACAAGACATAATATTTTACCATATCATCACTGTGTCATAAAGACCAGAACAGGACGTGATGAATTTCACAAGGCCAAATTCCCAAACTCTTGAGCTAATTTACTTTGAGCTACAGTTATTATGTATGGCTGACACTAGATGTCAGCACAGTGTGGTGGTGTTTCCTCAAAAGGAACTGAGCTGCCAATAGGTTGAAAGTCAGACCACCACTTGTCCTGGCCAATCAGATCAACAGAGAACAGAAGTTTCACTGTCTCCTCCAACTGTTGTTACAATGACATGTTAACATGGTTTTTTTAATGTGTATCATATTTCGAAATCCAGTTAAGAAAACTCAAAAACTTCCAAGGACCAGATCTAAATGACTGCCGTACTAACATATGTCTATTGAAATAAGGAGGACGCCCACCAGTTGGAATAACCCACATAGCTCATGTAGGCTACAGATACTGAGTGATAAAGCTGATGAATTAAACTGTACGTAACGGCTGCGTGTAACAGTCACGGTTTCCGTAACGACCGTACGTAACAGGAACAGTTATAGTAACGACTACAGTAGCAGGCTATTAGATTCAACGACTTTATCTGAAGAATCAGAAGTGTAAGAAGATTAGCCATAACGATAAGACTTGTGCTAAGCTTTTATATCCTCCACTGACACTGAAAAACACCAAATGTCAAATAAGATGATCTTTTTTAAGCCGCAGAGAAAGCTACAGCCGACTAACTTTGAGAAAGTCGACCACACCAACATTAAACTGTGTAAACCTAGCCGCACCCACTCCCTAGCAAATGAATGGCTACTCTGTAACGTTAGCTAGCAGGCTAACTAAAAACTGCTTCAGCTATGTTTCCCTACGTTATCTATGTTTACAGGAGAGAGGGAAGCCAGTCTGTCATTGTATGTCACCCGACTGTTCTTGTTTAGTGGGAAGTCCACTGCTGTTTGACTTAATAACAAGCTAAAGCCACAGAGGATGGACTCTTGTCCGCCGCTCCATCACAGCCTTGTACCTCCTCCTCGGCACCGTCTTCTCCTCACTGGAAGCATCTGGCTGACTCCCCTGGGCTTTGCACTCCGCGGCTAGGATGGCCGAGTCACCGTCCACCGGTCTCTGTAAATGCCCGGCAATTATCCTCAGTCTTTGCTGTGCAATCCGCTGCCTGTCGGAGCTGCCGCCGCTGCTGTTGGACGCCATGCTGCTTCCGTGTTTGTGAAAGGAGGGAGCGGATCCATGAGCGCCTGTCAGAGGTCAGCGCAGCGAAAGTGCACTGCGTTCACAGCCCGTCGGAAATATCACACTCTGTCCACATGAATGACCCAAAAAGTGGTAAATGCTTGGCGACTGGACCCCCCCCCCCCTTTGCCACGTTTGGGAGTTAGAGATACATTGTAAGATAATTATCAGCTTGGTAAACATAACAGACGGTTCATTTGCGGTATGTTAAAAGGCTATTGGGCACTCAAATGATACGATTAGGTGATCAACATAAAATTAAATGTCAACCCCGTTGTAGCTTCTCAAATGTGAGCATTTGATAACTTTATTTATCTTACATGATTGTAAACAGTATATGTTTGGGTTTTAGACTATAGTTCAGACAAAATTAACCCTGGCAATACGGCACGTCATGACTTGAGAAAATGATCAGCACATTAATCAATAATATTTAAAAAAAAAAAAAAAAAAAAAAAAAAAAAAAAAAAAAAAAAAAAAAAAAAAAAGAATCCGTAGTGGCACCCCTGGCATAGATATGTTTAAGGTGTGGGTTTGGTGTGTTTGGTTTTAGGTCAGAACGAATGTGAGGGAATTGCACTTCTGCCTGTAATCATGATATGATTAATTATAAAAGTGTTGTTATTGTAGGCCTATGTTTTCACTTCTTGATTTAACTTTTAAACCAGGGAATTAAACATGGTTACACGTTCATTTCATTCTGGAAAAGGAGCTAACGTGGAGCACTTGAATGCACCATTTACGTATTTCCCAGCATGCCTTGTAATATAGGGCTGCTTACATAGTCTTCATTGAGTCAGGAATTTACAGTCAGTTTGCATAGTTGTGAAACAGTAACAAGGAATTCAGCTTTTCTAGTATAACCACTTGAAATGTTCAAAGGGACATGAAGTCATGTGCACAAAACAGATTTTGATGGGTAATAAGTGTATATTAAAGTGGACTGCATTAAGGTTACAAATGATGCTTGGATTGTCATTCAAAAATTTGTTTTTAGTTTTTCTAATTGTCTACCCTGTGTATTGTATATATAAGTAAAACTGGCAACTTGAACCGAAGGTGACGACAGATCTATAGTTTGAAACTAATATTTTTTTAATTCCATTGCCACATTTTTGAAAATCTTGATATGTCTGACTATGAATGTTTTCACATAATAAACCACCATCATCAAAGTGTTAAATGCCACATGTGTAAGTTTTGTGATGTTGTTGTAAAAACTGAGAGTAAACTGAAACAATGTGACTTCTCTGTTTACCTTTCTTCCTCACCTCCACCCAGTCAACTAACCAGTGTGACTACTGTTTCCATATGGCACACAGCAATGTTCCTAAAGTCATGTTTTAACACAAAGTTACAGTGCATAAATGACAAGCAACAGTGTTGCTACTATAGAATACAAACTAGTTATGGTTAAATTATCAAAAAAAGACAAGACTGTAAAAAATGCTTAAGACAGAGAGAAACTTTATTTGTGAAAACAGTCATTTGTCAACAGAAATATCACATCATGCTATAAACTTAAATGTCCAGATGTTTGAGGATTTATTTCCCACAGGTTTAAGTATTAACTCCCAAAACAAAGTTCTGTAATGCACTGACTGCAGGCAATTAGAGTCTAAGTGTATCACAGAACTTTATTTGGAAAGCCACAGTGCCACCTCATAGGTTTGTCCTTGTGCAGAGCCTTATCCTCCTCACGACTGGGTGCTCCTTTAACCTGTAGTAAGGCACAAAGAGCAAGGGAAAACAGGACAGCCATGTTGGATTATCCCTTTATTCATGCTCTTGGCTGTAATACAAAATGTACTGTACAATTATACAAGAACAAATTATCTCCTATAGAATGAGGAATGCTAAGTAGCCAAGAATGCTATAAGACTGGGCCTACAGACAGGCTTGCAGTGTGTTAAGCAGGCCATATGGAGTCTTTTTACACATTGTCAGCTCTCCACAGAAATTATTATATGGCTGGATATCATTTGAGCATGTGCAATAATTGATCCTGAAATACATCCCACCGAAAAAGATCCTTAAATACATTCACTTACCTCTGTAAGCATGACCATCTGGTTGGGTTGCAAAGTTCACTTATCAACCAGTCTCTGCATTGACTGACATGATTGAAGTTTCCAGTTTTGGTGATCCTACTTTAGCAGGATTATTTCACTCTTGTGCCAGTGTGTCATTGATTCTACCTGTTGAGCTTGAACAACTTTGTGAACTGAACAGGCCCTGGAGAATGAGCTATTCATTAAACAATGCAGATGGATATGATAGCAATGAAGAAAGTGCAGAAGGCCAGCTGAGCTCCAGGAGTATTCAGTTCTGTCAGTTTGAAGGTAGTTTAGGGCACTTGCACTTCTACAGCATTCAACTGACAGCAACTTCCCAAGTGCAGCATAATCACATAAAACAAGTAATACCACCTCTCAGTCATTATCCTTACAATAATTTATGTGATATGAGGAAGGAGAAGTAAGTTCTGGAAGTCATACTGTACCTGGTGTAGGTAGACGCAAGGGGACCAGCTGCTATCCAACACGAGGGGCAAATAGTCTGGATCATAAAATGCAAAAGCAGAAAGCGATCTATTGACATCGCAGGCCATGGCCAGGTCCACTGTGCAAACGCCCGTTTTCACTGTGGTTGATGTCCGTCTGCGGACTTGCAGCGCTCTAATCGTAAGGTGACTACCGCCGCTTTCACCTTTTCTTCCCCGAGTCCTGTGCAGTTCACTATATGCAGCTGGAAGAATGTCGACGTGGAGCTGCCAAACGTGAACGCGTGTTCATGAGCGCGCATGAAGGGGGAAAAAAAAATAGGCTTTTTAGTGTAATTTCACGCAGTGGCACAGTGAGCTGCACTTCAGTGTGAGCTTCTTTACAGATATGTGCTAGAGTCAGGACCAGGTCTGCCTTATTACCTTCACACATTTCAAAAGCTACTTAATTACGTCTTGATCCGACTTCTTACTTACGCAGAGGTGTCAGAATTGTTCAAATTTTGTTAACTTTGAAGATTTTAGAAGCCTTCCCAACTTACTTAAATAACAGTAATCTTGGATTGACTAATAGCGAGGTGATTTAAAGTTTACAAGTGGCAGTTAAAGGCACATTATACCAGCATGTCTGTTCTATCCACCAGTGTTGAAAGAAACATTCAGATCTTTTCCTCAAGTAGCCTAAAAGCAACAATACCACAATGCAAAATACTCTATTGCAAGTAAAGGTCTTACACTCAAAGCTAACTCTGGTAAAAATGTAGGAGTGTAATCAGCAATATGTATTGAAAGTATAAAAAGTAAAAGTATATGTAGTCATAGTGTTAGCCTATATTATACAACTGGATTATTATTTCTGATGTATTAATGTTTAAACAGGTTTATTGTAGTATGCAATGTAATGTAGTAGCTTTAATGTTGTAAGTTCAGTGACATACTGATGTTAAATCTGTAGCACCGGTGGTAAAGTATCCAAACCCTATACTGAAATAATGGTAAGAATACCACAGTTTATTATTACTCAGTTAGAAGTAAAAGTCCTGCTTTTACAACCTTACTCAAGTAAAAGTGCAAAATTTGTATCAACAAAATGTACTTTAAAAGTAAGAGTACTTATTAATGCTCACATTAAGAGCCCCATCTATTATTATATAAAACTTTATTGGAATAACTGATGCATTAATGTATAAGCAGCATTTTAATATTGTTGCTGGTAAAGGTGAATCTCATTTCAATACTTTCTGTACTGTTGGGTAGTTTAAGCTACAGCAATGCAGTGTATTTTGTAACCTGATCACAGGTGTTGTATGTAGTACTTTACAGATAAAAATACTAATAAATACTAGTAAAGAATACCATAGTTCCCTCGGAAATGGTGTGAAGTAAAAGTATAAAGGAGCAGAAAATTGAAATATCTGAGCAGAGTAAGCACCTCAAAATTTTACTTAAGTACAGTACTTGAGTAAATGTCCTCAGTTAGATATAGCACTGAATCATTTGATAAACTGATCCTATGTTTTGCCTGTAAAATCTTAATCTGCAAAGTAACTAAACGGTTATAATACGTTAACTGTCAAATAAATGTAGGCTACTGAGTAAAAAATTAAGTATTTCTTTATGAAATGTAGTAGAAAGTAGCACAAAGTGGAAATACACAAATACAAGTGCCTCAGAATTTTACTTGAATGCAATACAGGAGGAAACAATAAAAAGTAAATATGAATAGTCATCACAGACTGTTCTTTCATAAACATTAGTTCTTTATGAATTCAAAGCCAGTGTTTGAAAGTAATTACATTTTCTGTTCTAAGGTTTTGAAGTAGTTCACTTGAAGTAACCTATTTCACTTAAGTATTTCCAATTTATGCTCTTTTCAGACAAGTACTACATCTATCATCAGACAAGTCATGCAAGTTCCTACCACTAGGCCTTCTTTCAGGAAATATTGTACTTTTTACTCTGCAACATGTATTTTTACAGCTACACTTAGCCTATTAGTTACTGCACAGATTGAGATTTCACAATAGCCAAAAGTGGTGCTCTGAATACTTCTTCCACCCTTCACCAAAGTCCATTTGTCTCCCTGTTGCAGTGAGTGGCCTGTGGGTTTTCATAGGACATTAGGGCCCCTGGGCCTCCGGCGCCACACCGGCCGCGGTTGCCAGCAGGGGGCGCTATACACCAAACCAAACTCTCCAAATGACAAGAGTTAAATTAAAAATGGAAACATAGGTTTGAATTTTACAATTAGAAACATATGAGCTGATTTAACAAATAGAAACGTATAATTTGTGCTCATATTAGATGCAGGCCGAATATTTTAGTGGCTTTAATGGTTTTCAAACAGAGCAACAACCAGAACTACTTTTTTTTATTTGTCAATTTAATGTATTCATAATCTCATGTACGCTCAGCTTTATGTGTTATTGTAACTTTCAAATGATAGAAATATGTTGTGCAATGTTTTTATTTAATAAAATAGATTTTTCTTAGCCGGTCTGTCTGCTCAGCCTAGCGGGATCCACACGCACGTACACGCCGTCCTCATCTCCAGCCTCATAGGCCGGAGTGAGGGGGACGATCCCGGCGCCGCAGCTCGGTGGGCAGGGCCATCATTTCCGTAATGATCATTAGATTTAGAGGAAGCAATATTTCCCTCAGCTCAGCTGCTGCGACGGACTCTATCGACTCAGGGCCAGTTCGCCATTTTAATCTGACATTTGAGGAATAACACACACGTTTATCAACCATAAGGCGTTTCTTCACGGCGACACAAATCTCCATGATGATGGAAATGGAGGTGATGCATCCCGGTCAACAGGTAAATACACCGTTTCTTAAAAGAGATCGTTAGAGGGGATGAAGCGGCTTACACTGACTGCTAACTTTCTTGAATACGATCTGACAGGGAGACAGACTTATACCTCAGGTAAACTTTCTAATGTTTGTTATAACAAATTACATCATTAATACACAGTGACAACCTAGTTATGGCGCAGATTAGACATTATAATAGAAATATACAGTAGGAAATAAGGCTTTCAACGTAGAAAGGATCATTGAAACAAATTGTTAGGCTTTCTTTAGACAGAGATTATAAGGTCGCCCTCTGTACCGCTTTCAGTTCTGCAAGTCATCCACTTGTGACGTTTTTCCTCGGCAGGAAATAAAACCAATCTTATTCAAATCCAGGCTGGTATCTTAGTGTTTGTGTTGATTGTGTTGTGTAAAAATTACAGTATTTCTTTCCCCCTGACAAGTTTGGTAAACAGAAAAACCTCTTGAGGTTTTTCTCGTAACTGCCCCCCCTCCGACCCCTCCTCCCCCTTTCCTCCAAGCATGTGATCCATATCTGATACAGACTAACTTGTAATGCATGGGGGATTATTTCTTTAAAGGCAGCACTGTTTCCTGTCTCTGCCGGCTTGTTTCTCGGTATATTTTGAAAAGAACAACATAACCTTGAGTCTAAACTTGTTTTGCCGGATATGTTCATACACATTGAATGAAATGTTGAACTTGGTTGAACTTGGATTATTTCTCGTGCAATATGGCTTTACATTGTCAGTGTTTAGTTGGATCTGTCATAAGCGAAGGGTCGGTGGAAGTAGGCGGTAGATTAAAGAGTTGAGGAACATGTGTGGCTGTGTGTCATCATTCTTGGTCATGGGTGGATGAATTGTGATGAAAGACGGCATAATAAACCACTGTGGTCGGTCAGCCACCCCCCCCCCCCCCCCCTACCCACCCCGTTTGAGGCCCCTTTATCCAGTTGGAGAAAGGTAAATGAACAACCCATTCTTGAAGGACATACACTTTGTGTCACTGCTCATCCTGCTTTCTTAATATGTCTTTATGTGTTTTCTGGTGATTTGAAGTCGTATGTCTGTTGTGCATCTTTTGTCTCTATCATGAGCTAAAGACATGTTGTTTGCTGTGTATAGGTGAGTACTGTCTGGGAAATCTGAGTAATTATCTGAGCTAGTTTCCTTGTTTTGGTGCCAGGGCCAGGTCTGATGACAGCAATGATACTGATACTATACTGATAACCTGATCTTACATACACGCCCACATTTACACAGTTTATTTGGCATTAATACAGAATCTTTGTGAAATTAAATTACTTTGGTTCTGTGAGTTGATTATATAACAGTATAATTAATCAGAGACAATGGAAGGGGCTAATTGAACCTCCCATTTGTAGGTGTAGACCTTTTTTAGACATGGGATTGTTTTTTAAGGGACTCATACGACTCGTCTAATGAGCTCATGAGGTGTGACTAACAGATAAGTGTGTGGTTTTTCAGTTTTGAAAACACGGTTGACCTCAAGAAATGTGTTCAGATGTCCAACATAGGCATTCTAGGGCATTTCCTCATTCCTGCAGAAGCCATAATGTCTGGCTGTGTGCTCACCTCTCAGTCGTCAGTATGATTTATAGTAGGCAGCCTTAGTAACGCGTAATCCTTCAGTGGTCATGCTTCTGATGCAACACAGAGGCAAATAGGGTTAGTGGGTTCTTATTTTGCAGTGCCACAGCTGAAGTCAGAAAAAAACTGTGTCAACAATGTCTTAAAATATATATTGGTACTTGTTTGCTATTATTATTATTAGTTGGGGAAGGTTTACCCCACACTTTGTTTATCTTGAATAGAAAAATCAAAAGAAAAACATAATTATATTGTGTTTTCGCCTCCTCTGTTTCACATCCTCTTTGTTGTTTATTGTTCTGCTTTGTTCTTTATTTCCCTTCAGTTCCCTTTTGGCTTCTTTACAGACTATGTATGATCTGGCCTTGTAAGCATTATAAAGCCAAGCTCATAAGTTGTGTTGATACCCAAATCTGAGGAACAAACAAGTCACATGCCTAAACATTTTCTTGTGAACCAGTGTCTTGGGTTTATGCAATATCCTAGGGCCTTGTGAAATGGTTTCCTTCTGTAAATAAGTAAAAGACTCAAGGAAGAGAGCACCACAGTTTATCTTAACACATTCTTGTTTGAAAAGGAAAATAACATTCAGCCTGAGAGGGGAAATCTACAGGAAATGGTATTAAAATATCCTCATAGTTGTGTCCAACGTTCTGTATCATAGGCAACGCTTAGCTTAATATGTAAATACGAAATCAGAGACTCAGTTAGTTGTGTAGTGTTGTGCTGATGGTAGTTGTCAAGTTAAGGTTGTGGTTATTTACTTGACGAAACAGCAAAGAATAAAAAAAATAAGCAAAGTTTGTAATTCAAACCAGCAAAGGATCTACAGTTTTACATTCCTAATTTTATTTGGTCTTATTATACCACCTTTTTTATAAGTATTACTGTTTTGTCATAAGAATATTTAATAATAAATTCTCTAAGCACCATGATACCATATTTTTTAAACAAAATGTTGATTAACTTTCTGATTTTATAACTGCTAGAGAATTAGGTATGAATGTTTGGGATTTAACCCCTACTTCATCTAGAGAAGTTAACTATAACATGAAGTCTTTTATGCAAATTATGACCTGAAGTCTGCCCTATGTGTGAGCTGGAATGTAGCAAACAAATTCACACCTCAGTGTAATCGGACGGGTAATGACCACTTCCCTTGCAAACGGTATCAAGTGGGAATACGTGCCTTCTGCGGGTGTGTGGTGGCAACATGGGAAACAGAGAAGTACATCTATTATTCATGCAGCTTCTCCCCCTTGACATTAGTGCCAGTGCTGTTGTCAGTGAACAGATACTGAGGGACAGGGTGTGGCAGGTGCAGCAGCCACGCTTCACAGCAGGGACGCTCTTCCTTGTTCCAATGCTGCTCACATTCTCACTGCAGGGCAGCATGGCTACTGCTCACAACTCTCTTAACTGATCTGAGGTTCTCTTTCCAGGACATGGACCTGATTGACATACTGTGGAAGCAGGACATTGATCTTGGAGCCAGGCGAGAGGTGTTTGACTACAACCACCGTCAGAAAGAGCATGAGCTGCAGAGGCAGCGGGAGCAGGAGGAGGAGAAAAAGCTGCATCTGCTCCAGGAGCAGGAGAAGGCCCTGCTTGCACAGCTACAGCTCGATGAGGAGACGGGAGAGTACATACCCCGCCCGCCACCCAGCGCCCCACTGCAGTCGGCTGTCACACCTTTGGAGGTTACACAGGTACATGCACATGGTCCACTCCCACCACATTTGATAGGCTACGGCTGTGTTGTAACTAGGGAACCACCTTATCTGGTGTAATTACAGAAACACAGGTGGCTCTGTAGTTTTGCATCAGTTTATTCTGCTCCAGAAACTGCTCTACAGAGACCTAAGCTCTATAAATATGACTTCATGTGCTGTTTTTAAAAGATGGTGCAAGACAGATGATGCTAGGAGGTAAATTTAACATTATGTACCTTAACCTCTGTTGCAGAATGTCAGCTTCGCAGAGGAGAACGGTGATGCCCTGTCATTTGATGAATGTTTGCAGCTATTGGCAGAGACATTTCCTGTAGAGGAAACTGAGGTAAGAATATTGACTAAATTATTACCACACATGTATTGCTTTTAAACCACATTTGAGTTGTAACTGAAAACTGTCCTACCATCATGTATTTGTCTCACAGAACACCACAGTTTGCCTGGACACAACTGCTGTTTCATTACCCAGCAGCAGCAACATCATGATGTCGCCCGAACAGCCAGCTCTGCCGCCGGCCACCCTCTCCCCAGGTCCACTGCCACCGTCACAGAGGATGTCCCCAGATTTGGAACAGGCCTGGATGGAGCTTTTGTCCCTCCCTGAGCTGCAGGTATAATACATGGATTCTACTGCCTCAATGGCGTGGTGGTGTGTGTAGTGGAACAAATATCCAAAGAATGCATCAATGGCAGGAGCCCGGCATTAGAGGACAAACACTTTTTTGTTTGGCCTACAAGAATGGGATCTCATATATGTGGAGATGGGCGCACACACCTTATTCCACTGTGACTAGGTTTCATTGTTGAGACTTTTTAGAGCATTGGGGAGGTGGGTGCTCAAGGTATGATAGTGTATATGATTGCTAGCCGCTAGCTTCCTCTAGCAGGAACACAGAAAACATGTTCAGAGAGGGTGTGGCAGTGTTACACCATTGCTTGATGGCAGAAAGGTAAAGATCAGTGCACAGTAGTCTTTCAGTAGCTGCCTTATCAATTTTGATTCAAGGCAGCTCATATTTGCATTAGCTGATGGATGGAGCTGTGTGCCATTTCTTTTGCCTTGCCCTCAAACTATCAATACCATGCACCTTAACCATCAAGTAGCACTTCAGTAGTTGTTCTGGCAAGCTGCTGATAAGACACACGTTGTTGAAACAGCGGTTGTGTGCCATTTTGTTTCAGTTCATAGAAGCTGCTTTGTAGAGATAAGGTAGCTGGTTAACGTCTCTGCAAACAACAAGCTGGGAGATTGGTATTAGTGATTTCTGAGCTATTTCAATCACTAGATATCTAGTTGGTCCTGGAAACCAGCTGCAGCTGGAACATCTGCATGGGTAAATGACATCACTTACCGAAGCTTTATTGTTTGAGGTAACGGATTAATCTCGTTTGAAATGGAAATAAAACGAACTGATTTCAACAGATGAATCCCGGATTATAATATTTAGGTTCTGCATGAGATGAATGTAACTTTTAAAGTGTGTCTGTCTAGAAGCCAATTTCACTAGCTGTCAAGTCACCACATTGTGCTTCATATCATAAACAATAAAAGCGCATACTGTGCATGCATCCACAACAACGCATACAGTACACATACATATTAACATCTCATCTGTAAAATTGTTTGGAACTTATACTGTGATATGTTGACTGTATTTATTTTATCTATATATATCTATATCTATATCTATATATATTATTTTATTCATCTATATCCTTTTTTTCTTCTAGCAATGCCTGAGCATGCAAATGGAGGACACACTGGAGACTACAACTTATCCTCTTGCAAACAGCCCTGAAGTACAGAGCCCAAACTTCACTTTTTACCCCATGACCAATCTCACAGATGGGGAAACAAACAGTTTAAATGTTTGTCCTGCAGAATTTATCAGTACATTCGATGCCTCTGTTCCTAGTATGGCTCCACCGGACAATCTCAGCCAAATGGAGGCGAAAGCTCCTCAGCTAAATACTAACTTTGGTGCAGAAGGTTTCTGTGACATATTTTACCCCACTGCCGTTCTGGAAGATAGCAGTGGTCAGCATGGCCTTGAAGGAAATGAAAGCACCACCGTGTCTGACATCCCCAGCAAGCCTCCCTTCATACCCATGGACCTTTACAGCCTCTCACCCGGTGGAGCATTTGACAGTGGCAAACACAATCTGACGGCTGAAATGCCAGACTCAGATTCAGGAATCTCTTCAAACACAAGTCCAAATGCTAGTTCACCTGCAAAATCTGCGTATGGAGATGGGTCCTTTGGTTACAGTGATTCAGACATGGAGGAGATGGACCACAACCCTGGAAGTGCGGAGTCTGAATACTCAGAGATGTTCTCGCTAAATTTCCAACCTGATGATCCAGTTTCTGATTCGGCACCGATAGGGCAGCAACAACGGCAACAGGGGAAGAAACCCAAACATCACAGGACGGACCCATCAGAGGAGAGTGGCCACAACAACGCTCCCTTCACCAAAGACAAGCAGAAGAGACGCTCCGACTTGCGTCTCCCCAGAGACGAGCAGAGGGCTAAGGCCCTCAAAATCCCTTTCACTGTTGACATGATTATCAATCTGCCTGTTGATGACTTCAATGAGATGATGTCAAAGCACCAACTGAACGAGGCCCAGCTGGCCCTGGTCCGGGACATACGCCGCCGCGGCAAGAACAAAGTAGCTGCCCAGAACTGCCGCAAACGCAAGATGGAGAACATAGTGGGTCTGGAGGGCGAGCTGGACTCACTGAAGGAGGAAAGAGAGCGTCTGCTGAGCGAGAAGAGCCAGAACATCACAGACCTGAAGGAAATGAAGCAGCAGCTCAACAGCTTGTACCTGGAGGTCTTCAGCATGCTGAGAGACGAGAAGGGGAACACCTACTCTCCATCCGACTACTCCCTCCAGCAGTCGACCGACGGCAGCATCTTCCTTGTCCCTCGCATTAAAAAGACTTTCAAGAGCGAAGACAACCACTTATCTCCTTTGTAATATGGTACTGCGTTAACATAGTGATACTATGCAATAACTTTGTAGTCGCTCAGCTTTAAAGCATTAGTAGCTCAGCAGAACTATTGTATAGTTTTTGCTTACTTCTCTCGAATGTTGTAATATTTTTGATATTTTACTTCTTTTGTACTCTGATACCCTCACAGATTCTATAACCAATATTGTTTGTAAATATAAACATTACATGCTTTTGAGATTGATAAAAATGTTACTGTACGTGTGTATATATATATATTGTATATATCATATTTCTGTATGCTAATGGTTGTTTCAATCATTGCCACTCATATTTTATAACTTTCCCTTTATGATTTGCTGCCCAGGTTCTTTTTTTAAAAACTTCTGTGCTTTTCAATAAACTATTCCTATAGCTATATGGCCTCCTGCTTTCTGAAAAGAGAACATTGTGTGGTGAGCTGTAGCCACAGCCTATAACAGATTGATGCCAGATGGATATATAGTCTAAGGAGCGATTACATAACTTACCACATGTTCAAATGAGGTCTTGACTTGAAGGCTTTACCAGAGAGCTTAAAAAGCAGCAAATAAAAGGAATCTTGTTCTGAAACAAAAGTGTCACAGGCTTAAACCTCTTTCCCAATCTGCTGGCATTTTATGAGCGCAAGCCTGTTTGTACAGTAACCTAAATCTTTTAATACTGTGAAACTCCTGTCGCCAAAGAAATCACACCCACTGCATTCATTTTGTTACACAACAAAAAGCACAATTGTTGAGCTACGGCAGAGTATGCTCGGCGTGAATCATGCATGACAACTTCACAATGGTCCACGAGCTAAGCGTAGTCAAAGGTAAAGCCCTACGCAATCAGTATGTGCTCTACATGCACTTTCACACACAAACACTACCTTTGATCACCAAGCTTATTTTCTGCTCTCATGACAAACTTCAGAGGGTGCGTGTCAAATTAAACTGGGAAGCAGGGTAACAAGCTCAAGGACGTATGCAAATCAAGTAAGTCAAACAATAAAACCTTCCGACATTGATAACACTTGTATTATACAATAAAGATTAAACATTTACAGCACAGCACATTGCTTTCAACGGCTTTTCACAAACTAAATACTCAAGTCAAGGAAAATGTTTTTATTTAAGAACACAAGTTACATTTTACATTTACATATCTTACACTTAAACCAACATGGTTCATTGACACCAGTGTGCTTTTGCCAAGCACAGCTTTATTCTGTGTATTGAAGTCATCATTCTACATTCCTCAGTAGAAATACTATCCTGCAATTGATTGGGAAACATAAACAGGCATTGTGTTTTCTCCTCCAGATCACGTAGACATGACCTGCCTGGAATCCTAAAAGTGCATGTATGAATCCTTTCAAATACAACATGCTGAAAACCTAATTTAAAACAAGTTATTACGTGGGTTTTTACCTCTGACACAGACACGTACACAGTCGGGTTTGAAAATATTTTTGATGTGCATAAAATTGTAAAAGGTTAAAATGATTCAAAATCCAAATGTAAATTGTTTAAAGATATTTAATGAAATTATTGCTCCATCCTCTAATGCTCAAATACTACTACTTAAAAGCCAAAGGTATATTCACAGCATATCTGGAGTTTTGTTTTGGTTTTTTTTTTTTTTAAAAAAGGAAAACTTGCAAAATTTCCCTTAACATCTGAACTTATTTTGAACTCTCATTGGGTCAACCAAATGTGCTACATTAAAAATTACCCAGTTAACATTTCCTAGACAGGCCTGCCAATTACTAAATATATATTATGCTGTGTTTCTGTTTGTTATCAACAGTTTCAACTTATGACCAGTTATTCCAGTTGATCCAGTTTGTCTACGTTAATTCCCTGACACAATTTTTTACTATTTCATTTTTTTTTGGAGGATGCCTGTGATTTGAGCAGAGGATCTGACCTCTTATGACCTCTGTTAGTCGTTACCGTTTTCTGTTGCCTTAAAAACCGGCTCAACGTGCTGATTACCAGCTCTTTTGTGACTGAAACACTAGTATCCAGTATTTACTATAAGCAGCCATCTTAGCAGTGGTCATGATGCCTCAGAGTAAGAACTGCTTCTCCATGAGGTGTTGATATTATTGTTCTTACTCCCACTGAGTGATGGAAGGGAATGACAAGGACCTTTATACATTTTAATACTGCATGGCATCAGTGATAAATTGGCATTGGTCTAGAATGGCAACAATTTCTTGTATCGTTGATCAAAAGAATGTTTATTATCAATTACTCTGATAACTGATTGATCCTTTAACTTACTTTCTAAGCAAAAAAGCCCTTTGATTGTTCCAGGTTGTCAAAAGTGAAAATTTGCTGCTTACATTATAATAAATTGAACGTGTTTGGCTTTTGGATTGGTGATCGGACAAAATCAAACATTTGAAGAGATCATCCTGTGCTCGTTACTGTGATCAGCATTTTTCACTAAATTTCTGACATTTTATAAGCCAAGCAATTAATCAAGAAGATTACCAGAATTGGCTAAGAGTAAAAGGATAATAAAACATTAAAACAACATATTTTGCCTTCAAGGTATACCAAGCAGTGTGGTGAAAGGCCGATTCTAGTCAAAGTGGAACAATGCTGGATGTTATCTGCTCGGTTTACCTTAAAAGACTGTTCCACCTTGTATAATCACCATATGCACTGTTAGATTACAATATGAGCAGCCTTGGATAATATTTTGAAAAAGTCTTACCCATCCAGAACCTTCCATGTTATCAGGTCTTTACAGATTTTCAGCAAGAAGAGAATGCCTCTTTCCACATCTGTAAATCAAGCAAAGTGGTTACTCTTACCTGCTCCATCTTCTTAAGTCAGCTTTTGTGAAATACTCACTCCCTTTTCTTGTTAATGTCTGAAATCTAGCATTTGCTGGTAAAACTGAAGTATCTCTGACTCAACAGGATCTCCAATGTGTCCAGGAACTAGTCTTTCTTCGCTAGCACCAGCTGCTGGAGGGTTTAGCTAGCCTTGAAAGAGAGATAGATGCTCACTACCAGGCACGACACTGCAAGCTTCCTCCATGGGCGTTGTGCTCGATGCTGCCTTCTCCCTTCTCTCTCAAAATGCTGACTGGTCCACTGTGCTGGGGCTGAAGACGTCCTGTCTGACAGTCATCTGCAATCTTCCACACTAGCGACGCTGAGGGCCCAACTGCAGGTGCTTGTGGCTGTTATAATCCTACTTGCTCAACACTGGCATATGTGGTGTATGGGCCCTTCCTCTAGGACTACCCAAAACTCCCTTGTCATTGACCCTGATACAAGTAAATACATACAGTATATATTTACACTGCATTCACTCAGGAGAAAGTTCTGGACAGGCTGATTTTTCTAAACTTCACAGTCACAAAGAGCAGGCAACAGATAAATTAATAACTCATTTAATCTTTTTCTGAACCAATGACGCACTGAACCTCATGTTACTTTACTACACAATTTTATTCGGTCTTTTTCTACTAATCAAAATATTTGAACAATCTAGAATTCGGTTTGCTGGGAACAGGAAGAGTGAGGGATTCCCTTAATTCTAATCCAGACTGCTTATATTGGTTGACACTGGTACTACGAATGATTTACATACTGTGCTTCACATACAAAAAAGCAAAATACACTTGACACTTGCAATTGAGCAATCATAATAACTTCAGAAAGAAAAATAGTGTAATTCTAGCTCATCTGAGGGCCTGATACAACTATACTATTTGACAAAAACCAGGTTAAAAGACAAAAGATTAATTGGCCAGCAGAAAACTAACCGATATAAAAAAAAAAGAAAAAGAAAAATAAAGATATAAAGAACTGACTTTAGATAAAAAAAACAATTCACTTTTTACCCCTGATACCATAGGCACAATACACACACACTTCAGACGCACAAAAGGAAAAAATTCTTTGTAGGGAAACATCTATCACAATTAGGGAAGGGTATCATCTGCACTCATGTTTTGTGTACACAGTCCTTCTTGCTGCAGTAATGTCTGACTTGTGTGTTCCTCTAATGCTTTCAGATGACTGCCTCAAAGTAACCTGCAGCTTTCCTGACAATTCCTTTGCTCACCTCCTCGCCTCTCCTGCTAAGAACTGAAGCCTGTTGAATGGATACAGGATAGAACAAATAGTTATTCTGCACTTTCATGGGCTCACTCTGTACTGTGCTACGAGGGTGATGTGGAACTGAATGCAACTTACCAAAACATGAAATAATTAATACCGCCGCGAGCCGTAGCCACCTCCGCCGCCGCCACCAGAGCCATAGCCACCTGAGGTATAGGATTGGTCACCACAAAATATTTGAAGTTACTCTTCAGGAGAAATGATTATGTTATGTTACTGAATGTGTCATTTTGAGGTCTGATTGTGACACATGGAACTGGAGGGTAAAACTCACCGCCATAGGGACCACCCGAGTTTCTACCACCGAAGTTGTTTCCCTTCATGGGACCATAGTTTGACTGTTGTCCACCATAATTTCCGAAGTCATTGTAATTTCCACCCCCTCCGTAACCTGAAGATGTGAGTGTTAATTTTAAGGCAAGGCTTGATTCCAGGTGTTAAATCTAGCACTTAATTCAATACATGGAATTCTGGAGTCAATTACATTTTTTTTACCTCCATCATTACCACCGTAACCGCCATCACAGCTGCCACCAAATCCACCTCCCTGGTTGCCATACCCTGGACCACCACCTCCGTAGCCCCCTCGGCCTCCTCCATAACCTGGTCCACCACCATAATTTCCTCCTGGACCTATAATAGTGAAAAACCATGAAAAGATGTACTCTTATAACTGGATGGTATTAACTAAAAGAAAACAATTGATTTTCAGTGAGCAAAGACACTAAAGCCATTTAACATCAATGATCCTTGTGACTTGTGACTCCTAAAATGCGATTTTTTTACATTTTACAGACTGCAGAAAGATACATTTTACAACAGCTCACCATTGTCAAAATCATCTCCATAACCACCTCTTCCTCCGCCATAGCCACCTAAAAAACAAGGAGTGTAAAATATATTATTCATGACAACAGTGATTTGTTTCTTTACGTCACAAGTGAGACCATGTCCAAACTAATGTCTGTTCATCTGAAAAACAATCTCTCCCATGGTTCTGGGCTTTTGTCCAAAAATCAAGCTTTAAAAGATGTACTCTAGAGCAGATACATTTGACAATGTCAGTCTTGTGTTGAAGTTGCATGGGACAACAGAGTAGATTAAAAATGCTGACATATGACTGTCAACATTTCACAACCTACATATTTCTGCATAAGGGCAAAGTTAAATAAGACGAACTTCTCTCGCCTCACAGCCTGCAACCACTTGTTTTGCATGTCAGTTCGGCTGATGACCCTACATAGGCCGTC